AAAATAAGAACCAAGAGAGATTATGTAAAGGTGCAAATTTCCAATGATGAATGTCATTATATTATATACCTTAAATGTACCAATAAAATTAATTTAAAGTATGGAAGAGTGTAAACATCTATAGAGTATGAATAAATGGTTGTAAAGATGACAACTAAAACACAAGGAAATGGGGGTGTTGCTCAGTGGTAGGGTATTTGTCTAGCATTTGAGAAACCCAGGGTTGATGCCCAATACTGGTGGAAATGAGCTGTCTAGTAAAAGATTTACTTCTATTTTAAAATTAAAGTTTAGCAGGCTGGGGATTTAGCTCAGTGGTTTCGCTGCCTGCTGCGCAAGCGCAAGGACCCGAGTTCGATCCCCAGTACCAAAAAAAAAAAAAATCAAAGTTTAGCAGTTGGAATAGACTTTTTGGATAATTCTTGTTTCTGGTTTTAAAGCACAAACCCATCTTAGAGTAGCATCAGATAAAAAGGGAGTGGTATTTGGAAATTACTACCCTAAAGTGAGATTAAAGGGGGAAGATGAACACCAGGCCGCTGAAGAGTGGAAACCAAGTGGTCTTTTGGCTATTCCCATGTTGCGGCTCCGCCTGTCCGAGACTGCTCTGCCCTCCAGCGTAAGCCCCATGTGCAGCCCCAGCACAGGCACTGGCAGAGGATCAGGGTGGACTGGTTACCTAGTGTAAAGATGGATGTCAGATACTTCATCCTGAGGTGACAGAAAATAAATTCCTGGAGAAGGGGAAATAGGCATTGGGTTGCTCGGGAGGATGTGTGGAAGAGGATCTGGGATAGACTGATCTGCTTTCAAATTAAGGCTGCATCTTTTCAATAAAAGACTATTATGCATGGTAAGCGGTACTTTGTTTCCATTGGACTTCACTCTGATACACTCTGTGCAGTAAAAATACATGATTATTGTAGCTCTAAGAAAACTCTTCTCACGTTCCAGACAACACAAAGGAAGTACATTGTTGTGTAAACTTTGTATAATTATTTTTATTTTTAAGAATACTTAGGGAGGGCTGGGGGTTTAGTTCAGTGGTAGAGTGCTTGCCAGAAGTAAGGAGGCCCTGATTTCCATCCTCAGCACTGGAAGGGAGGGGATTCTATAAATATTTTGTATTATAACTTTGGATTCAAAAACTAATAATTCTATTATTTTTTTTTACAGGTCATGCCTTGACTGCATTGGTAAAAATGCTATCATTTTAAAAAATCAGATATCTCTATTACCTCCTAAACTTCTACAGCAAGTACTCAAAAAAATAACATTTTGGACTGCCGCTAACCACAGAGAAGAACAAAGAATTCAGAAAGAAGAAACAGACAATAAGTATCAGTGGATCAGTAGCAACTGAATTGTAACATACCCCATCTACATACATTGACCCATTTTAATCTAATTATACATTTCTCTGCCTCACCCCAGTTGCAAGCTTCATTTAAGGATAAAATTTGATACAAAAATACTCTGTGAAAGTCAATATAGGGCATGGGGTATATGGAAATAGGATGTGAATATAGATTCATTTATATTTACATTCACAAGCCAAGTTCCTTGTAAACTACAGAGCAAATATCTTTTCTGAAAGTAAGCACTCTTATAACATCTTAATGTGTATGATTTACTGGAAGATTATATAAATTTGAGAAGAAATTACACTAAGGACTTTAGAATTATATACATATTTCAACTTTCAGGAAAGCATACATTTTCTCATATTACTTTAAAATTACCTAAACATCTCCTTAAATAGTTCAGTTATTAAGTAACTTCTCCTTAAATGGGGCCGAGGAATTAGCTCAGTGGCACCTTGCCTGCCTCACAAGCGCAAGGTCCTGAGTTTGATCCCCAGTACCCCCCCTAAAAAAGTAACTTCTTAAATAACTAGTAAATCTGGCCAAAAATTATACAGTAAGCAAGCACCAGCATGGTATTAAACATTGAACAGGACCTGCCCTTTTAGCACTTAGCGAGTATTCTAGGGCATCACCATAACTTTTCTTTGAACAGAGGAATACATGTCTTCAGTTTTGTCTCTTTTACCATTGTTATTTGTTAGTCCAGCTTTTCATATAAAGACCATATTTTAAGGTATATAAAGTGGAGGTCAATTTATACAAAAGATTCAGGATACCGAGACTTGGTATATTTATTAACTTTTGAGGTACTTAAACATTTTAATGGGCCAGGGGTGGTGGTCGTGGCGCATGCCTGTAATACTAGCACTTGGGGAGGCTGAGGCAGGAGGATCACCATGAGTTTGAGGCCAGCCTGGGCTACATAGTGAGTTCAAGGCCAGCCTGAATTGCATAGCGAGACTTTGTCTCAAAAAACAAAATTTTTGTCCTTAGAAGAATGCTGCTAATGTCATTTTTAAAATAAATTTTATTTTATCCCATTCGTACCCTCAAGCGCCCTCCCCTCCCTATGTACAAAAGCTTTTCAGTTTTTTCTATTTTTACTTTTTTTCTTGTCCCTTTCTCCCTCCATCCTCCCTTACTCTCCTTAGTAATGTCATTTTTATAAACAATGAAATGGGTGGTGATCTAGTATTTTGACCCTATTGAAACCCCTCACTTTGGCCTGTATTGCTCTAGAGTTGATACTGAAGACACCAATATGTTCCAAATCTAACATCTTCACTTTATCTCTAATATCACCATCTATCTAGAAACACTGTATATTCCTCCAAATGGTACTTTTGCCATAACTGAGACATTTTCCTTTGTATTATGCTAGTCATGCCCTTCCATTGACTTACTGGTTATGATTGATTACTAAAAATCTCAGTATATAAAATTATTCTTCAAGCTATCACCATGCAAGTTATATCTGAAATTTAACAAGTTAGAAAAATGCACTTCTGTATTGAAATATATAATTTATAGTGAAAAGTGTAGTCTGGTATTTCATTGGAGAGATTTTATACATATGTACTATATTTTGAATGTGTAAAGGTTCTATTTATGACCTGGAATATTTTGTGCTTACGTTTTAGTTATTGTACGAAGTACAGAGTGTTACCGTTTCAGTCTTGTCAGTGTGAACCAACCGGCATTAGATTGTGCAAAACGTCAGTGTGAGTTGTGATTTTTTTTGTTTACATAACAGACTTAGAAACTGAATTTCACAAGTCATGTAGATTTTAGGACTGATCTAACTACTGTGAGCTGGAGCATTTTATATTTAAGGTGAGTGTACAGAACCTTCGCGGAAGGCGTCGGGTCAGGGAGCCGACTTGGGCCGCTGCCTCCCTCGGGACAGGACTTCCACTGCTGATGGGTTTTTCTGGAACATTCTAAGTTGAATTGGCGCCCTCAAAACACACTCAAGGGCCGGGGATTTAGTTTAGTGGCGCCGTGCCTGCCTTGCAGGCCCAAGGTCCTGAGTTCGATCTCTGGTTCAAAAAACAAAACAAAAAATAAAACGCACACTCTCATTTGGCCTTTAAGAGAATGAAAATCTGTGTCCGACCTGGAGCACAAAGTGGCTGCTGTCACGGTCAGCCTGCTGTGCCGCCGCTGCCATGTGCTCTGCGGCCCCACGGTTGGATGACGGGGTGGACTTCAGGGATGGGGGACAGTGAGACCTTCGGCCTCAGCACTCCGAGCAACTCCGTGGTTTAAGAACCCACGGCAGGGCCGGGGATTTAGCTCAGTGGTTCCAGCGCCTGCCTCTCAAGCGCAAGGTCCCGAGTTCGATCCCTGGTACCAAAAAACAAAAAACCCACGGGATGCTATTGTAGCTACAAGGAGCAAAGAGAGGTCAGGAACCAAGCTGAAAAGACACGGGCCAGGCCAGCCCAGCCCAGAGCTCGCACAGCGCTGTAAGAATTCCACTATAAGAATTCCGTACTACTAGCCGGGAGTGGGGCGCGCGCCTGTAATCCCAGCGCTTGGGAGGCTAAGGCAGAGGATCACCAAGAGTTCAAGGCCAGCCTGGGCTACATAGCGAGACCGTCTCAAAAAGCAAAAAAAAAAAAAAAAAAAAAATCGGACTCTAAACACGCTTGTAATGCCCCCTATTCTGGAGGCTTAGGCAGAAGGATTGAAAGGTAAAGGTGATTTAGACCTTGGCTCAAAATAAAATCTACAAAGGACTGCGGGTGTAGCTTAGTGGCAAAGCGCTCCTCCGTTCCATCCCCAGTACTGGGAAAAAAACTACTGGGGACTGAATCCAGAACCTCTGCACTGAGCAACATCTCCAGTCTCTTTTAATTCTTGAAACAGGATCTCACCAAACTGCTCCTTGAGTTCACAATTTACCTTCAAATTTATCCTCCTGCCTCAGCTTCCCAGAGTTCTGAGATTACAGGCCTGCACCATCACAACTCAGAACAGAAGAAAAAAATTTTTTTTTCTTTTGGACTCTACCCTAAAAAAAGGAGGCAATTCAAAGGTTTTTGTTTTTTGGAATTGTTGTACCGGGGGTCGAATCAAAGTTTTTAAGTGAAGTAACGTGATCAGATTACACAGCTAGTCGGGACCCTAACCCCACATTTACTAAACACAAATCCGTGACAGCGGAGCCGCTGAGGCGAGCGCAGCCTAAGGGCCGAGCCGGGTGGGCGGCGGAGCTCTGCCTCTGAGCCGCAACGTCCCCGCAGCGTCCAGCCGCTCTCAGCTCGGGCGAACTCGGGCAGCAGCCAGGGTCCGGGCTGGGAAGGTCGGCTCTGCCCGCTGCCGGCCGGTGAGCGCTGGGCAGCGAGCCCCCACGGCGCCGCCCCTCCGGACTGGGGCGCTGCGAGCCCGGCCCGAGCTGCTGGCGAGGTAGGCTGCCTTCGGGCCCCGCCGAGGACGCTGCGTGTGCGCGCTCCGGCCTCTCCCGCGCCTTCTCCTCAGCGTCCCGCCTAGTGGCGGCTGCAGGCCGATTCGGGGTTCCGCGCTGGGGCGGCTCGGGGGTCGTGGGACGCCGTCGGGCGGAAAGCGGGGTCCCGGCCCGGAGCAGCCCGGTTGGCGCGCAGCCGCCGCGGAGGCAGAGGCGGAGCCGGGCGCGAGCTCGCCGGGCCCTGTCTGCCGAGGCGGCGGCGGCGGGAGGACTGGCGCTGGGGGCGCTGAGCACTTCCGGAGCCGGCGGCGGCGTCGCCGCCGGCTCAGGCGCTTCCGGCCGCGGCGTAAACAAGGCTCGCGCGGCGGAGACCGCGGGCGATCGGCGCCGGCCCGGCTCGCGCCCCCCTCGCGCTCGCCTGCTGCGACCTCCTCAGGCAGCGCGGGCCCGGGATCGGCGGGAGGCGGACACCGGCGCCGGCGGCCGGAGCGCAGTGCTGTCGCCGCTCCGCCTCCCCGGCCCCGCGCCCGGTGCATCTCTGCCGCGTTTCTTTGTCTCCCTCCCCGCTCGCGGGCGTGAGCATCCGCGGTGTACGGAGCTGCAGTCTCAAGATGGCTGATGGCAACGAGGAGCTGCGGGCGGACGACCCACCGGGGCCGGCCTTCGAGGGCTGCGAGGCCGCGGAGCTCGCCTGCCCAGCCGAGCGCAGCGGCCACGTCGCCGTCAGCGACGGGCGCCACATGTTCGTCTGGGGCGGCTACAAGGTCAGTGGGCGGCCGGCGCCGCGCGCCCGTGCCCGTTGCTCTTCTCGCGGTCCCCGACCCGCCTCGGGCTCCGGGCTGCCGCCCCGCCGGCCGGGCGCCTGCGCTGCCCGCTCGAGGGCAGGCAGCGCCCAGGCTTGGCGCCGCTGATGGCGAGTACTCGGGCGTGCGGACGCCCGCCTTTCCCTGCCGCTTCACCTGAGGGAGGTGGAGGCTTTCAAACGAAAACCCCATTAAGAGAGAAAGGCGGCGAGTGTGGGAACGCACGCCTGTAGCCTCAGCTTTTGGGAGACGGAGGGAGGAGCATGGCCGTGAGTTCGAGGCCAGTACCCGGTCCTCAGGGACGGGAGAAACTAGACGGCCGCTCCTTGGCCCCTCGTCCTGGACAGTGTCGTCGGGCTCTAGCTTGGCGCCCTTGCGGCGCTGCTCCGCGCCTGGGCCGCTCCGACTCCTTTTTAAACTGCTCACTTGTTCTGCTTTGGCTCTTAGAGCTTCCCGGTAACGCTCTCTATTCTAGAACTGTCTCGTTTCGCTACCCGGGGTGGCTCTGGTCCATTTCCACCGTACAGTTCTTTTATTCCCGTGTGGCTTAAAAACGCTCCCTCCCATGGCTTGAAATCTAATTCCACCACTTCTGGCCTCGGCTGGCTTTGCTCTGGGTGGGTACAGGGCACTTGCTGGGGGGTGGCCTGGCGAGTGGGGGAGACAGATGTAAAGTGGCCGTTATTAAAGTACAGATAGTGCTCCCGGAGGAACCCAGCCTGCCGGTCCCGTACACTCCCGCCCGAACCACTCCTGATCGTGCCTACACACGGGCGTTGTGGAGAGGGCCGGGCTGCCAGGGTGGGAGACTTCTGACGTGGGCCACAGTGGGGGCACAGCCACGGTGGGCCGCGTCCCAGTTATGGCCAGAGCCCCGAGAGGAGGCACGGAAAGGGAGGCTCGCTCCCAGGCAGCGCGCTTCGCTTTGGTTTCTGGGGGCCAGCTCTCCTCCCGGCCAGGATGCTCTGCCCAGGTCGCGGTGCCCGCTGGCGGCCTTTCCCTCCAGCGCCCCACAGAAAAACTCGAGCTGCTCCTAGCACTGCTGCTGCTGTTGCGTGCCTAGCACGCCCGCCCCGGGACTCTGACACCGTGTCCAGAACCGCAGCTGTTCCGCGCGCTCACACAGTGCAGAAAGGGGCCAGGGAGGAGCAAGGCTGAAAAGGTCAGGTCAGCAGCCGTCGAAGTTCAGGAAAAGGATTCGTCGTACTTACTAGGGAGCCTTGGGCAAATGAACCCCTCCAAAAATTTGATTTCTTATAATAGCAATTACTTTTTTGCTGCTTGTTATGAGGAATAAAGGAATTCATGGATGGCATTCAGTTCTGGCATATAGTCCGCTCAGTCTGTCAGGAGTCATACCTGAGGGGAAATGGAGAATGAGGAACTTACATTTTGCATACTTAGTATCTGCACATTTGCGGTTCTGCCCTCGGCTTGTCAGAATGAGCAGGTGCAAGGACAGCTTGGCTACAAAACTCCAGCATTGCGCTGCTCAGGCACTTCCAGTAGCCTGCTGGTAACAGCACAGGCAACCTCTGAGTCACGCACGAGGGAGGAGCACGTAGTCTCTGGGGGGTACAGTGGGAGGCCTCAGACATTTCCCAGAGGCAGCAGCAAGAATTGGCATTCAGGCTGGCTTCAGCTCTGCCTGAAGTCTGTGGGACGGTATGAGAAAACCATTTAATGTAAGCATAAGACATTTAATTTTCCATGACTCATTTCATAATTAGTAACTGAAGATATAAAATATCAATTACTTATATTTGCATTTTCTGATTCTTCCTAGAGTAATCAAGTCAGAGGATTATATGATTTTTATCTGCCTAGAGAAGAACTATGGATCTACAACATGGAGACTGGAAGATGGTAACTGGGTATTACGGGACTAACAAATTCCATTAAGGTTGCAAAGCAAAAATAAAGTTAAACCTAGTGAATAAAAACAGTTGAAGATGCTAAGTTATCTGTACATTTGCGGTGTTCTAGTTTAGCTTAGCTGTTTTTTTTTCAAGATAATATCTCTTTGGGAACAGTTTAGGAATTACGACATTTATGACCTTAGGAGAAATTTCTATTCAGGGCTCTGTAAAGTACCAGGAGGTGGATGGAGGCTTCCGATCCTGAAATGGAAGTACTCGATTCTGACATGCTTTTTAAAGATACACGAGCCTTCTCTTACACAGTACCTTGGATAAGAGGAGGGTTCTAGTTTGTTAGAATGTCAGCCTTTGGCTGGGGGCAGTGGTGAATGCCTGTAATCCAAGCTCCAGAGAGGCTGAGGCAGGACGACTGCAGGTTAGAAACCAGCACGGACAGCTGAGCAAGACCCTGTGTCTGCTGCTTGCCAGCCACTGGGACAATTACCTGACACCCACAGCTTACAGGAGGAGAGGTTCATTCTGGCCCACAGTTTCCGTCCAAGGTGGTCTGAGCACAACCCCTGGCAGCCAGGAAGCAGCAAAGGGGAGGTGCCAGGGTGGAAACAAACATCCTCCCAAATCACACCCAGGGATCCACCCCTTCCGACAGACAGACAGACTCAAACCATAACACTATCTCAAAAGCAGGCTGGGGATATAGCTCCGCACTCCCTAGGTTCAAGCCCCAACAATGAACAAAAAAAAGTTAAGATGTTTATCTGCTGGGAGTGTAGCTCAGTGGCAGAAAAATTGCCTGCCAAATGTGAGGCCCTGGCTTGGATCCCCAGCACCACAAAAAAATACATAGTATGTTCTGTTTAAAAGCCAAACTGGGAATGGTGGCCCATGCCTGTAATCCCAACACTCCAGGGGCTTGAGGCAGGAGGATCAATTGAGTTCGAGGCCAGCCTGAACTACATAGTGAGACTGTCTCAAAAAATAAAAATCAGAACAAACCTAAAATTATTTTATATAAACAGCATAATCTAAAAGCGCATTTTGCCAGTCTCACGATAGTCAAGAACATGTCAATAGTAAAAATTAGGGCCAGGGATTTAGTTTAGCTCAGTGGTTCCGCTGCCTGTCTCAAAAGCGCAAGGACCCGAGTTCATTCCTCGGTACCAAAAAAAAAGTAAAAATTAAAGTGTTTTATAATGCTAGGTTAGCCATGTTTACAGATTTATAAAGCAGTTTTTCCCATGGTTTCGTGAGAACTGTTTCAATATTTAACTTATATGATTCAGAACTAGAATAGCAGTCACAATTGATTTGAGTTAAACTAAAAATAAGGATTATTTATATATATTGCAAATCCGTGTTAATATGAACTCTTTCTAGAAAATGGAAAATTTATAATAGTGTAATATTCCATAAATGAGAAATTCTACACATTTCTTAAAAGGAAAATATAAGCCTACCAGACTTCATACTTAGCAAAGATAAAGTGATAGTGTAGGAAGACCTTGAATGTATCATTGGTATTGTGAATCTTTTATCCAGATTTTTTTTTTTTTGTAGTACTGGGTATTAAACCCAGCCTTTTCATTTTGAGAAGGGTCTTGATAAGTCCTGAAGTTGCTTGGCTGGGTTAGAACTTGCAACTCTTGCCTGAGCCTCCCAGAGGGGTAAGATTATGTGTGTCACCACACCCAGCTCAGACCCATTTTTAGATTCAGAGCGAGTGTGTACAAATCCAGGCGCATAGTAAATACACACTCCCTGGGCATTTATAGTATTACATAAGGATCTGAGTCAGAGTCATCTGAATGGCTAAAAGGTGACTGAACAACAACAAAAAAAAGCACCTGTAGAATCTGTCAGGACTAGGAATGCTGAAGTTTTCAAAACTTCTGGGTTCCTGGCCCACTCAAAAAGACAGCCAGTTATAGCCATGTCAATGAAAAGTCAAGTTTAGTTAGAGAAACATGAAATGGTCCCTAGAATAATAAATATGATTAGACCTTCGACTGCTCTCATTCAGTCTGTATAGTCCAGCTGGCACTGTCTGAGCAACAGGTGAAGAAGGGAAAACCCCATTCCCTGAGTGGACTTTGGAGCTAGAAGAGATGGCTGGCCCTCTTTTTTATTAGAAGAATAATTCATGGATCTGTGCATGTCTTATCTTTTGGGAATCTTATATACATTCAATGTGGCTCCCTCAGGAAGAAAATTAACACTGAAGGTGATGTTCCACCTTCAATGTCAGGCAGCTGTGCTGTGTGTGTGGACAGGGTGCTGTACTTGTTTGGAGGACACCATTCGAGAGGCAACACAAATAAGGTTAGTGCTTCTGAAGATGATTCTTCAAGGCAACTTTATTCTTACTCTCTTTCAAACCACCCCAGAAAGTTAGGTTACTTATTCCATTTAAAAAATATATGTACTGGGCAGGGATTTGGCACAGTGGTTTTGCAGCCTGCTGCACAAACACAAGGACCCAAGTTCAATCCCCGGTACCAAAAAAAAAAAAATATATATATATATATATATATATATATATATGTGTATATATATGTGTGTGTGTGTATATATATATGTGTGTGTATATATATATACACGTATATATATACATGTATATGTGATACACGTGTATATATATATATACGTGTGTATATATATACACATATATATATGTACTTTATCATGGTACAAATGTGCATTTGAATATTTTCCCTGCCAGTCTGTATTTATCTAGGCCTTTTGTAAAATCAGCTTTTGTGGGTATCCTGTGCAGGAACTTCCTAGGTTGTCCTATGCTCTGTGCAGCTACTTGTTCCCCTAGAACCCCTGAATGTTAAATGAGTATTAGCAAACAAATTTAGAAAGAACATCACAGACAAAACGAAGACAAGATGTAACCTTGGAGGGAAGGGTAAAGATGAACAGACCACCACTCAGAAAACTGTAAGGATAAATTAACACAGAAAAAAAGTTCAGAGTAATAGTCCTATAATATGATAGCTGAAGGCACTGTTCTGGTTTTCTCCATATTTTTTTCCATACAGGAGAAAAGGTATCATCAGTTCTATGCCAGTAAGAGAGGCAACGTTTCAGAAAGGTACACAAACTAGGGAGACTCCTTCCTGCCAGCTCATTTATTTGGCTGCTTAGTAAGCACCTTCCATGCTCAGTGCTCAGGTGGGTGTTGGTGGCAGAGATGAATGTAGTCTCCACCTCTAGGAGCCAGTCCGAAGGGGACAAATACAGTGACTGCAGGACATCGATCAGGACACTTGGAGCCTGGCACAGAATAGCAGCTCAGGATACATTACTGATGCAGAGTCCTTGATGTTGGGTTTGACAGGGTGACAGAATGCAACAAGAAACATGTTCACCCAAGAGGTGATGCCTGTGAACTGAGTAATAAACAAGGGAAGTCACAGTGCAGACACAAAAGCAAGCATGTCTTGTGCAAAGACACATCAGATGGTTTTCTAGAGGGGACATATGGCTAAGATGGCTTCAAACTGTGCTCCTGGGGACACCTGTGGGGGAGCACATGGTGTGAGGGGGCTCCAGACTGGTGCTTCTGCTCCCATTTTAACAAGCGTAGCTCTTTTATATATTGGGCTTTTGCTTGTCATTTTGTTGGGAAAGGGCCGTATACCTAGAAGATTTTTTTTTTTTGGTACTGGGGATCAAACTCAGGACCTTGCACTTGCAAGGCAGGCAGCAGAACCACTGAGCTAAATCCCTGGCTCAACCTAGAAGATTTTAACTGTAGGTGAGCCATGTATTTTTCAGAGCCAAGGGAGAGAGGAAAAAAAAACTTTTGACACAAGCTGAAGAGGATTGGAAAGGAGATAAACTACTTTTAGAGGATGGTCACAGAAACACTAGTATGTCAGATGGCGAGGTGCATTGTTTAAGACTGACCAAAAGTGTTTGCAAGATTGACCAACTCTATTCCGGAAAACACATATATTCTGGATGGTAACCATTTGAAGGACAGACCAATATTAAACCTTTTAAATAATGATCCATCTTTAGCTCCCAGAATTAAATAGGCAGTGAAGATGTTTGTTAAATTGAACCTGAGGATAAAACTGGTAAACCTGATTTTTTTTTTGGTAATACTGTCCTGCTATGCAAAATTTAAATCAGTAAAACTCAAAGTGCCTAAGTAAGGCAAGATGAAGAGCTGTGGATCTTCATCATAAAAGTGTGGCTATAAAAAATTAACTGAACTAACAGTGTTGTTACTGACCTAGGTTATTTACATTTTGTCACAAGTTCATAATCTTGATTCAGACCAGGATGGCAGCCAGTTTGCGGTCACAATTTCAGCAGCACTGAATTAGACAGAACCTTGTTATAAACCAGTAAGATGATATGCTAAAGATGAATTTCTCCCACATAAGCAAATCTAACTGAAGTCACTGCTTTGGACAGTTCTACATGCTGGATTCAAGGAGTACAGACAGAGTGTTGCAGTGGGAAAGAATTGATTGCCAAGGAATTCCTCCATCATCAAAGGACAAACTCGGTGTCTGGGTGTATAAAAACAAGTGAGTTAGAAACACAAGTACTTTCATACACTCAAGCATTTATTTCCCATTCATACTGTGTGTCAAAAAAGGAAAATCCCTTGTACCCTAGCCTGCAGAGGTTTGAGTTTTTATTGTCTTTTTTCATCAACTAGGCTAATATTTTTTGGAGGGTATGGATATTTACCTGAAGAGAAAGCAGTGGGAACGTTTGAATTTGATGAAACATCCTTCTGGGTAAGTGGAGTTTCATATTTGCATATGGCCCACTCAGTATGTTGAAATAACACATTTTATATTTGCTACTCGGTATGTTCACTTAATTGGATAGGAGTTGTATAATTTTACAGACATTGTTGTTAAAGTGACTCCAGTTTTTACTTTTCTGTAGAACTCAAGTCATCCAAGAGGATGGAATGATCATGTACATATTTTAGACACTGAAACATTTACCTGGAGCCAACCTGTAACTACTGTGAGTTATTGAAGAATAATGAATTAATAAAGTAAGGTTAGAGGAGAAAAGGGATACAACAGAGTTGGGAGATTTATAAAACTGACAGGTCATTTTTACTATTTTCTGGAGAAAGAACAATCATAGCTTTATTATTATCCATGGAATCTAGAACTCAGAAAAGTTTAAAGAACATACAAAGATGCTAATGTAACAAATGATAAGTAGTAGCTGTTATTGCTTATAATTAAGTAAATAATCTACCTCTAAATTAGAACTTAAGTTTCTTTTAAAGGTTAGATTTCTTTTCCCTCTGGCAGATATATAATGTGCTTGTCTTTATTTTAAAAGATAAAAATAAAGCAACCATTATGTTATATTAATCAGCCTCTTCAGTTAACATCTCAAAAATATAAAACTAAAATTCCCAGTTGTGAAAGTCGGCTTTTAGAACTACTACTGCTATCTAGAAGTCTTTACTTCAGCTTTTAGAAGCTCACCTATCTGGTATATTCTTATTCAGCTTCCAGAGAAGGCTGGTATTTTCCCTCTTATAAAAAGTTCACTTATTCATTAAATTGCTTTTATGGCTTTTTAATAGGGTAAAGCACCTTCACCTCGTGCTGCTCATGCTTGTGCAACTGTTGGAAATAAAGGCTTTGTGTTTGGAGGCAGATATCGAGTGAGTAGATCAACAGTTTCAATGACTTGCTTTGAAATGTTCAAAATGATAACTATCTAAATATATTTTTTTAGGATGCTAGAATGAATGATCTTCACTGTCTCAACCTGGATACATGGGAATGGAACGAGTTGTAGGTATCACTTTAGATAATTGTTTAGAAGGTTTTGGGGGGTTTTTTGTACCAGGGATCGAACTTAGGACTTTACACTACCGAGGCAGGCACGGTGCCACTGAGCTAAATTCCCAGCCCTTAGAGAGTTTTTTAAAATTACATTTTGTCCCTATTTCCTATTATTACTATAAAATAAACTTGCTTACATTTTCTTTATAAATTTAAATGAATATGCTCACTAGGGTTCTTAAGGAATTTTGTTTTTATTTCCAGCTTCTATAGCCATGTGCCTAACCCAAAATGCTCAGTTTCTGGTGAAAGTCTAAAGTTGACTCTGCCTTCAAAGGAAATGTAGTATAAGCCATGTAGTTGTTCTTATCAAGAAGCCTCTGTAAAGTCTCTTCTTGATCGCATAGAAGTTTTAGTACTGTACTTCTCTGTATTAAGCACAGTAGCTGCTTTTAAATGGAGATATTGTGACTTAGGCTGTTATTTTCAGAATTCCACAAGGCCTATGCCCAGTTGGCCGATCCTGGCACTCATTCACACCAGTTTCGTCAGATCATCTTTTTCTCTTTGGAGGATTTACCACCGAAAAACACCCACTAAGTGAGTCCTTTAAAAATATGTACTTATAGCCGGGGATTTAGCTCAGTGGTTCCGCTGCCTGCTGCACAAGGGCAAGGACCCGAGTTCGATCCCTGGTACCAAAAAAATAAAATAAAATAAAAAACATAAATATATAATATATCATCCACATATATAAACAAGTAGCTGAAAATAAATATACTTTACATGTATCAGATGTCTAAAGGCTTGGTTGGGAGGTTTAGTAATTTTGACCCTATAACAATTGTATATGTATAATTGTACATATCATAAATCTGTTCCGCTCAACAGTTAAAAAAAAATTACTTGGAGCACTTAAAAGCTCCACTGAAGAGCTATAGCATGCAGGGGGCTTCCTTGGGTAACTACAGAGGAATATAAAGGAAATACGATCTGGTTTATTAATTTTTCTTGCTAAAATTGTGTCCTTTAAATGTCAATGTCATATTGACAAAATAAACATTTGATAGCTTTTCTTTGTCTCAATCAGGTGATGCCTGGACTTACTGCATCAGTAAAAACGAGTGGAGACAGTTTAACCATCCCTATGCTGAAAAACCAAGGTATGAACTACCTAAAAGGTAATTCAGTCTAAGAATTACCTGTGTATAAGACTAGTAAGAACTGAGGGTGGTTTGGCTGCATTATATCCATCATTCTTAAAAGATGCTGATGTTCACTAAGCTTTCACATCATACTTCTCAAAGAAAACCAGTATCTGAGCAGCAGATGCTTTCTTTCATCTGCTATGGACAAAGAATAGAGCTACATGTGTTACTTTTCCCCCTTCCTTCTGTTAGAGAAGTATTGATATAGTTGAAATTTATAATTAATCTCTTTACCGGAGTTGAATTGTATCTAAGTTTATTACTGAAACCAAAAAACTAACAAGGGAAACCTGGGAGAATTTTTAAATCCTAATGTACAAAAAAACCCACCCCAACTGTTAAATGGATTTGCACTACCGCTGTATGACAAAATTTAAGAAGTCAAATTATCCCAAGAAAAGCCTATTAAATAATGATGTTTATTTTTCTTGTAAATTTCAAAAATAATTGCTAAAGGCAATTATACAATCAGCAGTGGTGCTCAAAGAACATTTAGATGTCAGCCTGCATTTTCCCAAGCTACAAACTCCAAGTTGTGCCACTAAGACTTCATTTGGCACAAAAGACCTTTCCAAAGGATTAACAGGCTCTGAGACTTAAGTGTGCTAAGGCAGGGCTTTCACAGAGCACCCCTTAGATTATTCTGTATGCACCCAACTGGCCTTCCCAATGAGAAGAGGAGGGAGGGGATGGGATATACTAGTCAGATTGCCAGAGAATAGATCATGCAGTTCAGGACCCCTTGCTGCATACACAGGGTCACAGAGAAAATAGTATCCAGATAAAACAAACATTGATTTTTCTAGCTGAAGATTTTATTTTTCACTATGATATCTGGTCTCAACTATCTTAGGATTTCTAGTCTTTATTTTACCAGCTCTGCTCTATAGTGTAAATAAATGACCAGTTTGGCCTTTGGGTGACATTAAACTGAAGTTTTTGTTTTAAATGTAGGTTGTGGCATACAGCTTGTGCCAGTGATGAAGGAGAAGTAATTGTTTTTGGTGGGTGTGCCAACAACCTACTGGTCCACCACAGAGCTGTGAGTATACCACTTCATATTATCATTCAGACTTCTCTGAAGGTCTTGCTTTTTCATGTGTTCTTCATCTCTGTTTTTTAGGCACACAGTAATGAAATACTTGTATTTTCAGTTCAGCCCAAATCTCTTGTACGGTGAGTAACTAATTCTTCATTTGGCACTAATTAACATTCTTTTTTTTTTTTTGGTACCGGGGATCGAACTTGGGTCCTTGCACTTGCACAGCAGGTGGTGAAACCACTCAGCTAAATCCCCAGCCTAATTAACATTCTTAAAAAACTAGGTTTATGGATTATTTAAGGGCAGTTCACTGGCATGACTAACCAGTTCCATGAAAATCTTTAAAAAGGGTTTTTTTGCTTAAGTTAATGTGCTTCTAAACAGTAAAGTGAAATTATTTTTCTCTTTCCTTGTCCACTTTCAGGCTAAGCTTAGAAGCAGTCATTTGCTTTAAAGAAATGTTAGCCGACTCATGGAACTGCCTTCCTAAACACTTACTTCACAGTGTTAATCAGAGGTTTGGTAGTAACAACACTTCTGGATCTTAAGGCTTCACAGAGAAAGCCTCTGATTGCCTTGCATGGACAACAATCCTGTAACTGTCACAGATCATGATCATTTGAGTGAATATGTTGTTGTAGTTTGCAACTATTTGGTTTTAACGTGCATGTGAATGACCTAGGGAACCTATTTTTGTGTCTATAAAGTTTACAATAAATGTATTTCACGCCAGCAACTATTCTCTATTAAAGCAAAAAAAATTAATGGTTATTATATCCTTTTCGGTAAGAACTTCAGGCTATAGATCTGTAGAAACATACTAAATAATCTTACCATTATCAAAATAGAAGCTATTTCTTTAAAAAAACACTAAAATTTTATTTTCTTTAAATAGCAAGAGTGGTCTTGAGCATGAGGTGGTTTTTTTTTTTTAAACATGAACTTCTAATGTAAAACTATTCTCCATGGACTAAGAATTGTAAAGGGACCAAAAGGTACACAGTTCATTATAAGCTTAATGCTTTGGTGTAGGAGCTAGGGAAAATGGTTATGTTGACTATGAGCAGGTGATTTTCAATCAGTTAAAAAGTAATTGCTCTGTAGATCATAAAGGAATGGAAATAATGTATAACTTTATTCTCCATTCTGATAGGAGTCAGGAGTCTTCAGTGGTAGACCTAAAAGTGCACTTCTGATATTCTAGGTTAAGATACTCTATAACATGCTACTGGTAACAACTAAAGATAGAAAAGAAAATGGTACAGAACTCAGATTCCAAGGAAGAAATGGAGTGAAGATGTAGAAATGATCAATGCCAATTTTTTCTAGGTGTTATTCCTCAAGCTGATTCATGGGGATTATTATTTATTTACATCTGGTCTAATATATTTTTGACAAGGTTTTTAAGACACAATCCTAAATGTTTAATTGTCCCTACTCCCATAAGAACAAAAAACCTCTCATGATTGGCCTGTTTTTTATATATATAAATTAGATGTTATATACAGTAGACTATGTCAGTAGTTTAAGCAAATTAAACCATGTCAACTATCCAATTTCTTTACATCACGAAATGAATACTTAGTATTAATTTCCCAAATTTTAACAAAATGTAGAATAACTACAGATGTACATAATTAGTATTTAGCTTTTGACATATATTTTAGGAAATCCTATAGTAGACAGTTTACCTCTATATAAAACTGGAAAAACAAGAATTAAGTCCTTTTGGCAAATATAGCAAGGCAATGATTAGTTCATTTTTAAATGCGGAAGTCCTATTACATGATGTTTCCATCTTTGAACTTCCAAAAGGAAATAAAATTGACTCTTCTCATATATTTAAGGAGTTCATTTCACTATTTCCTTTTTACATTCAGAAGGTTGGGTGCAGACACTTTCACTTTGCCAGGAATGTTTCTTGATAAATCTGTGTCCTAAAAAAGAAAATTGCTGAATGTCTTCATATCCTAAATGATAAATCATGTTTCTTTTATAACAATTAGTTGTCCTCTTATGTCAAAGAAAGGCAGTGCCAATATTTTTAGCTGAAATGCCTTTACTTATTTTACTGCTTTTAGTAAGATGGCATTTTCTGTCAAAACTATAGAAAATAACTTCTACAATTTTTTTTTTTTCTGGTACTGGGGATCAAACTCAGGACTCTGCACTTGCAAGGCAGGCACAGTGCCACTGGGCTAAATCCCCAGCCCATACAATTCTTAATTATACCACCAATCTCCACAAAAGTCTGAAGGAAAACTTTACCTTTACACTCCGGAATAAATCCTTTTCTCTTGCTGTTGCTTCTTTGGAATGCATGAAACTATTCAAAGCTGTTTTTGCAGCTGTAAATAAAAAACAGAGGAATCTACTTCTGTTCAGTCACTGAGCTGTTTAAAATAATAAAACAACAACAAAAAAATTAAATACCTTTTCCCTTTTTCTGAATTCCAGGGGTAAGTTTCACTTTATATCTTTAAAAAGAAATTGTATGAGTTACTAAATAGGGATTACAAACAGTTCATGAAAGTCACTGTGACAAATGTTTTGAGTAAACTAATGGTGACTTACTTGTAGTTTGTCATGGTAGTGTAAGGCGCACATATTGGAATGGCAAATAGTACTATATCTTCAGGATGTGGGTAACCAGTCAAAGAATCAAACAGATTTTCCTACAAAGGGAAAACCAGATTATAAAGGTGATTTTACCAGCCTTAGACAAAGAAGTCTCTAGGGGCTGGCAGTATTCCTGACTGGCTTCTAGCATGGATAAGATACTAGGTTCAGTCCCCAGCATCACCAAAAGAAAATTAAGAAAATATTGTAAAACACTGTTAAATTAGCAACATTTTCTATTTTTGTTTTTATTTTTTTTGGTACCGGGGATCTAACTCAGGACCTTGTGCTTGCCAGGCAGGCGCTATGCCGCTGAGCTAAATCCCTGGCCCATCTCAACATATTTTTATCCTTTTCGGGCAGATATATATACTCTGAAGTACCAACGGCAGTTGAAGAATGTTCAAATATTTCCAAGAACTTACAATTTTTGCCTATCATAATATTGAGAAAAATAATTTCCAAAATACCACATATTTTTAGAGAAAGGGAGAGAAAATTTCAATATTATTACTAAAGTTGCAGAAAAACTGTGAGGCTGCACAGTAATGACCACAAAGAGATTTAAGTCTGTTAAACAGAAATGGGACTTAACATTTTGCCTCGACCAGTGACTCCTGAGCAGGGGTTTTGCCCTGCCCCAGAGGACACTGTAGAGTGTATGGAGAGAACTGTGGTCTTCACAATGGGGGAGGGGAGGAAGCCAAGAGGCTCTACTGACATCGAGTGGGGAAGGCCAGGGATGTTGCTAACAGTTTTCTATGGGACAGACCTGAAGACAGAGAAATTATCTATTTCACAATGTTAATGAGAAATCCTGGGCTAGATGAGTCCTCTCTCTTACTTCTTTTTAACTTAATGGTTTACCACGAGTGTCACTCGGACAGTGCGTGTGTTTAGGTACTATCTCAGGCAGTCAATTCTTACATTGAATAAATTTGATAAAGTTGTCTATATTTCCTGTTACAAAAATTAAAGAAAAAAACTGCAATTTTTGGTCATCCTGTATTTAAATAATTGGAGTGGTAAGTGATTAAGGACAACCCCAGGGCTCGAGAGTTCTCATTTGGCTTGGTGTCTAGAAAATTGCTCTTATTTAACAATATTAGTGGGGCTGGGGATTTAGCTCAGTGGTTCCGCTGCCTGCCTTGCAAGCGGAGTCCAGAGTTCGATTCCCAGTACCAAAAAAACCCAATATGAGTAAACTCAGATTTAGGATGAAATACTTAGTAATGAACAATAATACCTGAATGTTTGCTGTGTGCCATAAACTTTTCTAAAGACACATTAGTTCTCAAAATAACTCTCCTGGTAAGGATAATTATTATCCCTGTAATAATGAGGCAAAAGAATGTTTCCAAGTATCTTGCAGAGAGAGGATTCAAACCCGGAAAGTTTGACTCCAGGTGCTTCAATCTTAATCAGGCAGAAGCTGTGTATCAAATACTCTGGGAAAGGACTCCAGTGTGACTCCTGTAAGGATCTACACAAAATCATACCTCATTTCCCTGTTGATCCAGATCTTGTTCTTCCTGTTCCAAACATATAAAAATGTAAAAGTTAGCTAGAAATTCCACACCAATAAACAATGAAGAGACAAACAGTGATACAAGACTGCCACATCTAACTTACGGGTCAGGGACCCCAAGATTGTATTCTCCAGAGTCCCAAGACCCAGAAGTGGATTCAGTGTTGTGAGAGTTTACTATTTCAGAAAGCAATGCCAATGCCCATCCAAGAGAAAACTAACGGGCAGGTCTCTGAAGCCGGAAGAGAGGGACGTTTCACATAGGGTATGCAGCGAAGCAACAAAAGATGTAAGGACAGTGTAAAAATAACAGCTTGATACGTTCACCAGAGAAAAGACAATGAAAATTCTGATGAGAACTTTTATTTTTTAATCTCTTCAAGTTTTAGGATAAACTTTTCAAATACTAAGATACACAATTTTGTGAACTTATGTAAGAAAAATCTGTGGAAATAATGTACTGTCTCAGTCTATTCAGGCTGCTGTAAGAAAATACCTTAGACTGGATAATTTATAAACAACAGAAATGTACTTCTACAGTTCTAGAGGCTGTGAGTGCCAAGATGAGGACATCCGCAGACTCAGTGTCTGGTGCCTCAAAGGCACTGCTTTGTTGCTAGCTCACAGAGGAGGTACTGTCTTCTCTTACACCTCTTTTATAAAGGTCCCATTCCTATCACTTTGAGTATTTAGGATCCAGGATTTTCAGCAGGAAATATTAACATTCAGATCACCGCACCTACCCATGAAAGAATACTAATAACACCTCTAAGGAATATTTTTGGGTCTAGGGTTTACAGAATAACAAGCCAGACATGGTGTCACACGCCTGTGATCCTAGCACTTGTGAGGTCAAGGCAGGAGGATTGCCCTGAGTTCGAGGCCAGCCTGGGCTACATAATGAATTCAAGGCTAGCCTGAACAATAAAGTGAGCCTCTGTCTCAAAACACTAAATTACAAAATATGCTAACAGTGCAAAACTCTTGAGAGCCAAAATGAGGTGCAGCATTATTAAAGAACAACACTGTTCAAAAGGGATGAAAAGTAATTTACAAAATCTCTAAGCATCACCCATACTAAGCACAGAACTGTAACTCAAACTTTAAGTACATAAAGATAATGCTGATCGTGAAAGTAAAATTTTTCGTATTTTATACAAAATCACAAAGAATAAGTGCTCAGAATTTCAAGATGCAGATATTCATGCAAGAAGATGCACTTAACTTTGGGCTTCCTGTACTCACATAAAACAAAGTAGGCAAGCATCTCAGCTGGAAAACCATTACCTCCTCACTGCACTGTTGACTGCGGACTTGGCCCTGAAACTAGCTACTCTGAACATTACATAAGACAATTCAACATACAATCCCATGGGAAATTCACCTTTAAGGTAATCCCAAGTCCTGGTATGATTTTAACGAAACTCCCGTCAAAATCCGAGCCACTCCAGAGAACTAATTCTTTTCTTCCTTTTTTTTTTGGTACCAGGGATTCAACTTGGGACAAGTTGGTGGCAGCACCACTGACCTAACTCCCCGACCCCTTTTCGTCCTTTTTTTAACAGCAAACTGTTATGAAAGGAACAAAACAGGCTCTAGACCTAGTAAAAGGAGGAAAAGAAGTATACCCCACAGTGAGGGTGGGCAACATGCGAGAGAGAACAGTGGCCAAAAAACTGATTATTTTCTAAAGGCAGACTCTCAGCTTTGATCGGTAGGTTTAGATACTGTAAAACTTAAGTCTCAGGTGGTACTGCTAGGATGACTTGCCATTAACAGGAGGGTTGCCATTCATACTGGCTGTGGCACTGTAAGTCCCAGGCTGGGAGCCCTGGATGGCCTGTCAGCGCTACACATGTGAAGCAGGCAGCCTTACCTTGTCATCATGAGGCTCGTCTACTGCCAAGTCTTGTAACTCATGAGTGAGAACCTCAAGGAACGGAGTCTCTTTCTTAATGCGCTCTGAAACCCTCTGTCCACCTCTGGGTTTCTGGGGCTGTTTCTTCACAGGTTCATCCTTCGTCTTTCCTTTCTTTCCTTTCTTCCCCTTTTCTTCTTTGTTTGAACCTGCAGACTAATTGATAGAGGGAAAAATCAATTAATGTTTCAATTGTTATCAGTATTATTAAAATTTTAGCAAAAGTGTATGGCCATGGGGCCAGGGATTTAGCGCAAGCTCAAGGTCCCGAGTTCGATCCCTGGTACCACACACACACATAAAAAGTGTATGGCCAGGCATAGGTTCAATACCCATGGAAAACCAAAAGACATTTTTAGGTATTACTTACCCCCAGCAATTTCATAATAAGTTCACGATCTTCTTCATCCTGATCTTTGTATTTTTCCTTCATTTTTTTCATTTTACTCTATGAAAAGATTTGGGGAAATTTAGCAATAAAAATGTCAAATATTTGTGAAGAAAAGGCACTTTTTATATTTACTCAAAAAATGTTATTGAGCCAGGCAGGGTGATGCATATCTCCTCAGAGGGTGAGGCAGGAGGGACTTATCTACACCCTGTCTGAAAAACAAAAGAAAACAAAACCAAAAAAATCTATCTCAAAAGTAAATAAAAGGGGGGCCGGGGATTTAGCTCAGTGGTTCTGGGGCCGGTCTTGCAAGTGCAAGGTCCTGAGTTCGATCCCTGGTACCAAAAAAAAAAAAACGTACAAAAATAAGGGCTGGGGATATAGATCAGTGTAGTACTTTGGGCTGGATAATAAGTAACAACAACAAAAAAAACTTAACTGAAAATGGCACCACCACTCACTTTTTTTGTTGTTGTTTGTTTTTTTCAGACAGGGTCTTGCTATGTAGTGAAGGTTGGCCTCAAACTCACAGCAATCCTCCTGCCCCCGCCTCCTGAGTGCTGGGATTACAGGTGTGCATCACCATGTCCAGCTAAAAGCTTTTCTTAAGTATATTTTACAGGGTTTGGGAATATAGGAAAAGCAAGAGTAAAAAGGTAAAGACCAGAGACTTGTAACAATGAGTCACTGTATTTGGTTGGATTCATGGTCCATATAAGAGGAAGAAAGGGTAGAGCGAGGCTAGGGACACTGTAGAGGTTCTTAAGACTCTGAATTGGGCTGGGTGTGTTGCTCAGTGGTACACCACTTGCCTAGCATGTGTGAGACCCTGGATTTGAGTCCCAGAATGGCTAAAATAAATCCTAGTTTAGTTAAATTTCAGTTTTTGTTTTGTTTTGCTACTGGAGATGGAACCCGTGGCTTCAGACATGCACTCTGCCACTGATCTGCAACCACAGCACTTTAAAAATGCTAATTTGGAGATGGCGTGTTGCCAAGGTGCTCGGCCCAGCCTTAAACTTTTGATCCTCTTGCCTTAGCTTCCTGAGTAATTGTGGTTATGTGAATGTGCACTGTGCCTGGCCTATACCATTATAAAAAGCATACTCTATATCTACTACCTCTTCAGTCCCCTTTAATAAAATACTATATGTATAAACTCTAATGAAGAACTCTAACCAAAATTGCACTGATAGTTGAAAAAGAAACTACTCAATGTCAGTAAAGATCAGCTACGGGACTGAGGTTATAGCTCCATGGTAAGCACAACCAAGGCCATGGGTTCAGTTCCCAGACTGCAAAGAAAGACAGATCAGCTCTCACTTATGAGCAGGTACCTCTGGCAAATCACAATCCCCTATTCCTCCACAAAACGAGAGCTTTTGTGGAAATGATCTTATAGGTCTAAGGACCTATCCTAGGATCTGTGTGTTTCCTAAACACTGTGACTTTTCAGTTAATTTTCAAAGTCACATAGAATTATGTTTTTGCCTACTTCTTTTCTTTTTAAAAACATTTTCTTCTCATTTGTTTTTTTGAGTCAAGATCTCACTGCAGTCCAGGCTGGCCTTGAACTCATGGCAATCCTACCTCAGCTTCCCAAGTGCTGAGATCACAGGTGTGGGCCCCCACGCCCAGCTTATCTCTTTCTATTCAGGTAAACTCTTAGTAATTATGAGGAACTTCACAACCTCATTTAAGAACCATACTGTAACACAGTGTCCAAAAGTTTATTACCTTTTGCCCTCGCTTCATTGGCTGCACGCCTGGAACATTTCTGCTTGTGTTCTGAGGGGTTTCAATGTGTACAGTACTTTCTTTTTCTCTGTCCTTTCCTTCTATCGCTTCTAAATCTCCTGAGTCACTTGGAAGTTTTTTCTTCTTCATTTCCCTAAATATAAAAGTAGTAAAAGCATTAAATTCTTAGAACTTCAAATTCTTAGTGCCATAAAAAATTACAAAGGGGAAGGGAACATGAATAGTATATAAAAGATCATGGCTTCTGCTCAACTTGATCATCTCCAGGCTACAATATACAAAGAGGCTCAAATAATCACATTTCAAAGAGCTGAAAATTTTTATCTGGATTTATCTTTCTGTCATCAGTCAACACAGTCACCTTCGACTTATCCTTACTCAACTAGGCACACTCACTAAGCTGAGAACCTTCAGGCCAGGCACTGGGATTTGTAATCTTTCTATCTACGTGGCCTTGACAACTTAGTCTATTTTATCAGGTCCCCAAAGCATCACACATATTATTTCCAAACTCCTCTTCCCTTTGTTAACTAATGCTAATTTTTCTTGGAGTCTCTCCTTACCTTTTTATCCCAAACTGCTACTTTATCGTCAAGCTACACTTCTGGTGGCTGGGGTGGTACTGAGGAGCAAACCCAGGGACACTCTACCATTGAGCTACATACATCCCCAGGCCTTTTTTATTTTGATACGGGTTCTTGCTACGTTGCCCAGGTAGGACTCAAACTTGCAGTCCTCTTGACTCAGCCTCCCAACTTCTGGGATTACAGGTTTGTGCTACCAGGGCCATCTTCAAAGGTGTACTCCTGATGGTATTTCCCAAAACATCAACTCAACAGGAATCTCTTACTCCTACTTATCACTTTCTGACCACACTATTTACATACTCAGGACTATTTCCAGGACTCAAAAGCTTCTTGAAGGTGTGAACTTCATATTTCACCTCTTTACACACTCAGTATCTAGCATAGTGCCATACATTCAGAGAATTCTTTTAATTCTTTAATGATTTTCTTACACAAAAAAAGTTTTATTATCTATGCCAATCTGGGGCTCTTTCCTAGAGTGCTTTACTGGTAGCAGTCCCTTTCCTCTGTCTATTCCCCTCCAGAGACCTGTTAGAATATAAATAAATAAAAATCAAAGGGCTGCAGTTGTAAACTCAGTTGGGAAGAGTCCTTGCCTAGCATGCATGAGGCTTTGGACTCAATTCCTAGCACCACACATTAAAAAAAAAAATTAAAAGTTTACGTTAAAAATTCCTAATTTCAAGTATTTCTATTTATTCCTGTCAATATTAGAACAAGCCTACTTAATATACTGTAATCACTAATGCACACGTTTATGTACTAAAAGTCTATCTTACTACTTGATCTGTCTCTTACCATCCTGACAGATTAGGTCTCTAAACCCTCAAAACATGTTAAGAGTTGAATATCAAAAATTAAAGATTTCTGCAAATCTTGGTAATTTCACTTATTATTTTATTTTTTTGGTACCGGGGATCGAACTTGGGACCTTGCGCTTGTGGGGTAGACAGCAGAACCACTGAGGTAAATCCCTGGCACAAATCTTGGTAATTTTAATAAAAGAAGTTTTTAAAACAGTCAAATAATCTGTGGTAGCTGAGTTGTCAATTTAAAAAATATAAATCCATGCTTTTCAGGTAGAAAATACCAATGTTGCTTACCTTCTTTCCTTGGCTGACAAATGTCTCCGGCTCTGTAATTTATTATCACTCTATTAAAACAAAAGAACAAGCAAATATAGTAACATCTTTTTTAATTTTTCAAAAGTTACAATTAAAAGAAAACTATTTATGGTAAACTTTTGTTCATAGAATTTTGAAAATAGCTTACTGAATTAGAAGATTCCTCTTTTGAAGCCAATTTTTGGAGGGACCTATGAAAACAGAAGAAAAGTCAACTAGCCTGTAAGAAACATTCATTTATAAAGTCTTGAAACATTCTCAGATCATACTCTCAATTACTTTCAATCCTACAAACTTTCAAATTTGATAAAATCAGAAAAAAATACAATCAAATCATTAATCTCTCCACACTTTCTTATATTCATAAATACAGAGAGGCTGTGACATGTTGAAAACTTTTATGTGCCATGCGCTGCTAGATGCTTTATATAAAGTACATAAAATCATCACCAAAACCCTGTGAAAGGGATACCATTCCACCTTCACCAAGAACAAACCTGGAGCTTATATACTGACACACTCCAAGACTCAATTTTGGTCTATCTGACTCCTAAGTCATTTTTTATTACTCCAATAATAATGCTTTTCAAGGCCAGGGATTTAGCTCAGTGGTTTCGCCACCTCTGCGCAAGCGCAATGACCCGAGTTCGATCCCCAGTACCAAAAAAAAAAAAAATGCTTTTCAAATTATGGATTGGTGGGCTGGGGATTTAGCTCAGTGGTTTCACCGCCTGCTGCACAAGCGCAAAGACCCGAGTTCGATCCCCGGTACCAAAAAAAAAAAAAAAAACCTGCAAATTATGGATTGGTCGTCTGATTATTGGTAAAACATTAATACTAAAACTTTTTATAAAAAAAGAGAATTGTTGTACATAAAGAGCAACATAAAACATATGACAAGAAAAAAGGAGTAGAGACTGGAAATGGGAAGGGAACGTAGGAAGAAAGGAGATGGGAGGGTTAGGAGGAAAAGTAAAAATAATTAAGATTTAAAATATATATGTACCAATTCCCTAAGATGAATGTAACCATTAGTTATTGCAAAGATACTAATAAAAAAAGAAACTAAAACAATTTTTAAAATAAAAAAACCGAATTGCATTTGCTATGTTATTAGTATTTAGAACCATTTGTTTGTCTCTATTTTAACCTACACTGGCCACTTTCGTGTTTATGTACTTTTCTACCCTGGTCTTGGGAGTTTCTTTAGAGAGAGACCTAACTGAATGTTGAAAAAAGAAGACAGTGGAGAGTAGAAGTATGAAGTCAATCTTGGTATTAACTTTATAAGGATTAGTTTATTTTCATTTTAAGTTTATAAAATAAAACTTAAGGGGTGGGGATTTAGCTCAGTGGCACCATGCCTGCCTCGAAAGTACAAGGTCCTGAGTTTGATCCCCAGTACCAAAAAAAAAAACTTAAAATGATGTCTTTTTAATGACCTTTGGGACTGAAGATGAGACATGTCAATGGTAGTATCAGGATACTCTATCTCTTCCTCTTCATCTTTCATTTCAACAACAGGCTCCTGATCTTTTATAACCTCTTCAGATTCTCCTTCATCTTCAGAGCTTTCTTCCTGAATTGGTTCCTCATTTATTTCATTTACACCACTCTGAGCAGTAATATCCTCTTGGCCAACCTGAGTCAGAAGTTCTGCTTCTACAGGTGTTTCACCTAATTCCTCTTTATCTTCTTCACTACTGGTGTCACCTCCGTCTGTAGAATTACCATAAGGAAAGTCAGTACTTGGGCCGGGGACTTAGCTCAGTTGCACTGTGCCTGCCTCACAAACGCCAGGTCCTGAGTTTGATCCCTGGTACCAAATAAAGTCAGTACTGTATAGTACTGTATCATTATTGGTAAATAATGATGCTCAGTTTTCTTAGGAAACTTCATAAAAATATTCCATTAACTCCGTTTCTCCAAAAGATCAGAAAAATGCTTAATCATTCCCACAGGGTACTACTCTGACTTACACAAAAAGGTATCTGTATTATGAATAGGGTGGATTATCTGATCCCCAACATTCTCTTACCACAATAAATTTCTTGGACATTGCTACCATTTCTACAATCAAAACCATAACTTACCTTTCTTGGATACTTCCAAAAAGCAAGAGAATAAAATTAGTTGAATAAAATTCTGTAGCTTTTATAACTTGCAAATGAAAACTAAAGTTAATACATGATACGTAACTGACACATCCAAAATACTCATACTGTGGCAAAAGGAATACTGTCTAATAGTAACAGGCTCCAGCTGCCTCATTATAAAATAAGATGCCACCACCCATCATTCAAGGATGGTTATAAAAATTTTATTTATTTATTTTTGTGGTACCCGGAATCGAACTCGGGTCCTTGCGCTTCCGAGGTAGGCGGTGGAACCACTGAGCTAAATCCCTGGCCTGGTTATAAAAATTTTAAAATAATGTATAGAAAGCACTTCATACATAAAAAATCAGTTTATTAAAATTTGTGAACTACCTAGTTGTTCCAGTTCTTCTGATACGAGTTCACTTGTGCAACTTTCCAGTGTCTCCACGTCTTCATCCTGCACTCTGACTTTTCGTTCACCCCGATGTCTCCAGACACAAGACTCATCTACCTACAGAAATAGTTTTTTCATTGATGGAACGTTAGGTAAAATTCATGAAAATCTGAAATAAAACAACTAAACAAAAAAGAAGCTGAGGGTACCTTAAAGAGGAAACTAAACCCCATCATTAGATATGAAGGAGGAAGGAAATTCTTCTTTCCTACAAAAGAAAGTATACATTTTCATTAAAAATCAGTTTTCTCCATTTTTTGGTCAGTAAATATCTAACACCAGAGATAATATACATTTTGTCTTTCACTCTGACATTAAGGACACTTCCCATTTATAGAATTACTTTTATAAAAATGGTCAGGGCCAGGGATTTAGCTCAGTGGTTTCGCCGCCTGCCTCGAAAGCACAAGGTCCCAAGTTTGATCCCCAGTACCAAAAAAATAAAAAATAAAAAAGGTCAGGCTGAGGGGTTGGATGGACTGGTCATTTTTATTCTGAGTCCCTGGAAAAGCTAAGAGATAGTCCAAAGGTGGGGAACATCCAAGTTCATACGTCTGTTATAAGTTCTGCAAAGCATTTGAGGCCCCTAAAGGTATATTTTTGGGAAAATGAAACAATAAACTCTGAGCAGCTCCTGTAGGTCCTGAAGGATGTGCTCCTGCTGCAACGGCTCCAAGGAGGTCGTTCAGAACCAGCCCTGGGATGATCAGCAAGACACCTTTGGGTTTCATCTGTGCTTTAATGATATTAACTGGGGGATGAGGGGCTGGTCACAGGGCTGGGTGGGCAGTGTTATGGTTTGTGTCTACATGTCCCCCCAAAGCCTCATGGGGCTTTTTCGGAGGTGGCTGAATCTAGAGCTTGTAATGATGGGATTAAGGGTGTGTGATTACTAAATCAGTCCACTGATTGGTCTGGCACTGCCCTAATCCCAGCAGCCTAGACAGAGTATAAAAAGGGGCAGAAAGAAGCTGCTAAGGTCCCTTGCTCTCACCAGCCTGCTTGCTGTGGACTATTTCTCTACTCCAGTGCCCCCACCCCGGCCATTCCACCCTGCCTTGGAGCCAGCCAACAATGGACTGAAACCTGTGCAAACTGTGAGCCAAATAAACCTTTCCTCCCTTAACTTTGGGCATCACGTTATTTTGTCTCAGCAACACAAAACGTAACTAAGAAGGCAGAGTGCAGGAGTGGGGTGAGTCTGCTGTGGCCCACAGTTCCCGCCCACACCTAGAGGTCACTGGGCCTCCCACGTTCTGTCCCCATATGTGCTGTGCCTCTTTGCTGGGACTGTTTCCCATGAGGGTAGGGCCCAGCCTGAACACCTTCCACCCACTGCTCCAAGGTGTTTAGAAGGAGCTGAGATGGCTGGGAACAGACCCAGGAAGGGACCAGTCTGGGTATTGAGCTGTCAGCAGGAACAGCTGGCTTCAGGGAAGATCCACTCACAGCTGCCCTTGGCTCCATGTGAGGGACACTTACAGTGACCAGGGTAAGTTTGGTCATCAGGATCAAAGCAGTAAGTGCTGTACTCTCAAAACTGGCTTGTATGCCTCTCTGGCTACAAGATTGTCTTGGCAGCTGCCTGGAACCGTGCATATAGATTAGTTTCTCTGGTGGGCATCAGGAGGTGCCAGAGCTCGAAGACAGCACCAGCACCCACCCATGTCTGGTCTGAGCTGTCTGCCCCCTTCCCTGAGCTGTACCCCTGAGGTCCAGCTCTGAAACATGCCTTGCTGTGCCCAAGGTGCCCCAACAGGGTGTCATCCCCATGGACGCCTCACTGGGACGGTGTCACCCGTCTCTGGAGCCTGCCCTGAGCTTGCCCTGCTGCCTGAGGGCTCCCTCGAGGGTAGAGGCAGGGAGGAAGAGGCCCCACCCCCTGCCAATGTCCCTTTTCTCCAGCACCATGCTGCTGAAGGCCTCTGGCCTCCCCTCGACTGGCCTACTGTCTCTTTCCCACTCCAGATGCCGATACCTGAGCTGGAATGAGGGGCCTGGACCCAAGGGCGCAAGAATGGGGGAAAGTGCTTCTATCTCTTCCCACTCAGGAGCATTGGGGAGACAAGGTAGAGGGTGGAGGTGTGCGTTTGGGGAAGAGGAGGGGAAGACTCTCAGTGATGCCCTGCTGCCTGTTATATTCTAATTGTTCAATCATTTGGCAAGAGTGTATTTTAATAATAGCCACCTAACTTCGGTGTCCTGTATGAGAGGTGCCTGTCTAAAGTTGCCTTTTGAGATTAAAAACAAAAGGTTACTTTCTCATCCTTGTAACTAAATTGTTTTTTTTTTTTTTGGTACCAGGGATCGAACTCACTTGGGCTTGCGCAGCAGGCGTCGAAACCACTGAGCTAAATCCCCGGCCCCCTTGTAACTAAATTGTAAAAGTGCATTCTCATCTATAAAAATAAAGATAATGAGGATGATGATATGACAAATGCTAAAATTTGCCACACAAAGGCAAAGCTTTCCTTATAACAGATTTCATATAGGAAATCAGTTTCTCTTCTGAAAATATTTGTAGATGGTTCTCAAACCTGTCTCCATAATCCACTGGCAAGTCAGGGATATTTTTCACCTCCATCATTACCTCTTATCATGAAGCTTCCTGTTGTCAAATATTCTCCAGTTGGTGCTGTTTTAGAAACCTAAGGAACATAATAATGTGTTACATTCTGACCTTAAGAAATACTCAGTTTTCTGCACTCAAGAGGAGAAAAAGGTCATATTTAAGTAAGCAATACAATGACCTGAAAAGTTTATAATTTACCGCAAATTCTCAACACTGAAGGATAGTTATCCTTTAAATGATAGATACACCTTTGGCAGCAACAAAGAAATAACAAAGGGTCTACTACATCAATAATTTTCAAATGCCATGGACTACAGCCAGAACTACTCCACTCCTTTCTTCCAGTATGGGATGTAAATTAATAAGGATATCACAAACTATAATAACTAAAATAAAGCTATATTTATTAAATCCTTTTGAGAACTTTCTGGTAATAAAATAGCTTTTCGTTTCAAGAAATAATGATAAGAGCAGGTTTTAAAAACATTCTGCCAGGCATGGTGGTGCATGCCTGTAATTCCAGCACTCAGAAGGCTGAAGCAGGACTGCCGAGAGTTTGAGGCCAGTCTGAGTAACATAGTGAGTTCCAGGCCAGCCTGAACTACAAAGTGAGACCCTGTCTCAAAAAAAAAAAAAAAATCCTAAACTGGGAGTGGTGGTGTATGCTTATAATCCCAGCTACCTGGGAGGCACAGAACTGCAAAACTGAGGCAAGCCTGGCCCAACAAAGTGAGACCCTGTCAAAAAAAAAAAAAGTTTATATGTGTTTGTATCCAGCAGGACAAACTGAATGAACTATTCCATAACTTAAAAACTTTTTTTTTGAACTCGGGATAGAACTCGGGATCGAACTCGGGACCTTGCGCTTGCTTGCAAGGCAGCCAGCAGAACCACTGAGCTAAATCCCTGGCCCCTAAAAACGTATTTATACATCTTCAAAACCTTCAAATCTGACAGTATCTTTATTTGTCATAAAGTTATTATGGCATCATTTTAAAAAATCTCGTAACAGGGCCAGGGGCTCAGTGGCACCACGCCTGGCTTGAAAGCGCAAGGTCCTGAGTTCAATCCCCAGTACTGCAAAACAAAAACAAAAACAAAATATCTCATAACAGAAATACTTTTATAATAATACTGTGATAAAAATATAACCCACAAGTATAATTAATTCCCTAATAATATAGCAGATAATAAATATCAACAGCTATAACAGAATAAAACTAAATCTGAGGGAAGATAATGGAATTAAACTCTTTATACCACCATATCGTTTTAGGACCTTGTAAAAGTACATCTTTATCAATTTTAATTCTTGAAAATATCAAATGAGTAGCAATGTGAAGTCAAATATGGAATGAAGCATTGTCAAATAAAACAGTATTAACCACAAAGGGCAATTACTAAAACCAACAGATTATAAAAAACATAGGGGGCCAGGGATTTAGCTCAGTGGTTTCGCCACCTGCTGCACAAGTGCAAGGACCTGAGTTCGATCCCCAGTACCAAAAAAACCAAAAAAACAAAAAAATAAAAAGCATAGGACATACTTGCTTTTGTGGAAGTGCAAAGAGAAATTCCAACAAACATGCACAGGAGCAGAACCTTTTAGGCCAAATTGCCATCATAACTGGAACATTCTTTATCTTGCATAACTGCATGATTACTCTTTTCATTTAGGTCTTTCCTCAAATCTCAATCAAATAGGCCTCCAGTGATACTGTATTTAGTAAGGTAGCTCCAAAAGCACTCTATCCAATATTATGCTTTAAAATTTTTTTCTTGCTATCAGCTATATACATATTTTTCTTTCTTTTTTTTTTGGTACCGGGGCCAGAACCACTGAGCTAAATCCCCGGACCCTATATATACATATTTTTCTGTACCACCTAAGTATAAGTTCTATCAAGGCAGGTACTTTGCCTTATTTACTTCCTATTTGTTGTTGTTTGTTTTGTTTTTTAAGACAGGGTTTCCATAAATAGTTCAGGCTGGCCTTGAATTCACTATGTAGCCAGGCCGGCCTTGAACTCATGGCAATCCTCCTGCCTCAGCCTCCCCAGTGCTGGGATTATAGGCATGCGCTACCACACCTGGCACTGCCTTATTTACTTCTGTACCCTTCAAATTTGACCCCCAGTATAGCTAATAAAGAAAAAGGACCACAGCCCTCATTACCTGATGATGGTACACCCACCAAGCACTAGTGATAACTCGCGCATCCCAAGCAGCACTGTAGCAAAGCGCCATCGTGCCCACCTCAGTCAGCGTCCGCGGAGGGATGGGTTCTCCTGTAACAACCAAGCTACACTTCAGGGCTCAAGCACAGACTTCTGGAGAGCAAGATGTGAAAGCTTTCGGTAGCATAACATGTTCAATCATCTTGTATCTTAAATACTCATACCACCCTTTATTATAGTACTATAAAGTTACCATTTTTATTGAAATATATTTACATGATAGGCTTTTAAAGGACCTATGTAAATAAAACAAGTCTATCTTCTCATTTATATCAATGATTCTGACTTCATTCCAGAAAGTATAATTTAGAACAATATAAAGACCTAACCAAAGAAGATAAAGGTTTATTAATCTTTTCAAAGAACCAAGTTTTGTTTTGTTGATTCTGTCTATTCTTTTTATTTTTTGGTACCGGGGATCAAACTCAGGTCCTTGCGCTTGCGGGGCAGGCGGTGGAACCACTGAGCTGAATCTCTGGCCCGATTCTGTCTATTCTTTCCCTATTTGTTTCACTTATTTCTATTTTAATCTTTATTATTTCCTTCTCCTAGCTCTTGGTTTTCCTTTTCTAGTTCTTAAGATGCAAAGTTAGTGATCTGTTTCCTTTTTAACAGACATTTACAGTCCAGAAATCTTCCTCAAAGCAATGCTTCAGCTGCATCTCGTAAGTTCTGATACATTCATTCATCTCAAAGTATTTTCTGATCTCCTCTTTGTTTATGAGTGTGTTGTTTACTTTCCATACATTTATGAATTTTCCAAATTTTCTTCCAAAACTGGTTTCTAATTTTGCCCCATTAAGGACATAAAACTTACTTTGTATGATACCTTAAATTTACTGAGTCTTGTTTTCTAGTCTATCCCAGACAGTGTTCCATGTGCACTTGAGAAAAAGTATTTTGCTAGATGTTGGTTAGATTTAGTTCGTTTATAGCATCATTCAAGTCTTCTATTTCCTTGCTGATCTTGTGTCTAATTATCCATGACTAAAAGTTGAATGTTGAAATTTCCAAATATCGTAGACCTGTCTATTTTTCCCCTCAACAATGTCTACCTTTGTTTCATATATTGTAGGGCTCTACTGCTAAGTGCATATATGTTTATAATTGCTATACCTTCTTCATGGAATACCCTTTTATCATTATATCCTTTATTAATTCTAAAATACTAAAAATATTTTAAGGAAAGTAACAAATTCTGAATAACAAAAATATATTACCTGTTGGGTTCTTAATTACACAGCTAGTAGCTCCATGAAGATCAGCATGTACATAAATATCTCCTTAAATAAAGACATAAAAAATAATATTTTGAGGGCTGGGGGTTTAAGCTCAGCAGCACAGTGCCTGCCTGGCAGGCACGAGGTCCTGAGTTTGATCCTCAGTACCAAAAAAATAATAATAATAATACTTTGAGTCTTTTTTTTTTCTATTTTCTTTTTCTTTGTGAGACAAGTTGTCACTATGTTACCCAGGCTGGTGTAGAACTGCTGGGCTTGAGACCCTCCTGCTTCAGCCTCCCAAGTAGCTGAAGCATGCACACAAGAATCAGTATCTAATATTGAGATAAATGATTCAATCATTTAAGAGAAAATTTTTTAAAACACAAGTATGGTGGCACACAGTAATACGAACTACACAGGAAGCTGAGGCAGGAGGATTACAAGTCTGAGAATAGCTTGGGCAACTTAGCAAGATTCTGTCTCAAAATAAAACTTTAAAATGGCCTAGGGATATAACTCAGGAGACCCTTGCCTAGCATGCGTGCAGGCCTGAGTTCAATCTCCAATACCAGAAAAAACTTTTTTTTAGAAGTATAATCTTACCTACCTGGTGTCAAATATCTTTTCACAATCATTTCATTTTGTTGTTGATCTCGTCCGCCTATAATTAGATAGTTCTCTGAGCTGATGAACCACAGAAATTTCTCAAACCTACCAAGTAGAAAGAAAATTATATTAACACTTTTTTCTTTACAGCTGTTTGATTTCACATCCCACTTATAAACGAAACAAAACAGGAAGCTATCCTGCCTGTGTAGAATAAGACAACTTGATGGTTTATTACCTTTAAAGCATCAGCCTGACTTTGATAATAACCTGTAATACAAGATACTCTTCTTTTTTTTTTGGTACCGAGGATCGAACTTGGGACCTTGTGCTTGCGAGGCAGGCGGTGGAACCACTGAGCTAAATCCCCGGCCCAATACAAGATACTCTTAAAGCAGTACTGGAAGAAATTAAATTCTATGTTTAAAAAAGGATCTCCTTACTGCATATAGAACAGGTTTCTTAAACTCAAGGGTAACTTAATACTGAAATACAAAATGTCAAAGGGTCCTTAGGTTTAGCTTTCTTTAGTGGGGCACTAAGTGGGCTTTAGACACTTGGTAAAAAGAAAACTTGTAGTCCTGCTCTGTCCTCAATTAATCAACATAATTAGTGTTTATATAGGTGATAGTCTTTATACTTTATAGAAAAGGCCAAAATTTGGCTTCAGAAAGATAAAATTGTAACTTTTCTCAAGAGACAAAGTGGGATTTTTGTAATTAATACTGTCAGGGTGAAAAGTATACACATCAGGCCGAGGATTTAGCTCAGTGGTTCCGCTGCCTGCCTGGCAAGTGCAAGGTCCCGAGTTCAATCCCTGATACCAAAAAAAAAAAAAGCTCTGGCCAGGTATGGTTGTGCACACCTGTAATCCCAGCATTTTGGAGGCTGAGCCAGGAAGACTGCTCCAAGTTTGAGGCCAGCCTGGGCTACACAGTGAGTTCAAGGCCAGTCTGAACTACAAAGACCTAGTCTCAAAGAAAAAAAAAAGGTACTTAGGTAAAATATTGTAAAATTTTTACCAATACATTTCAAAATTTAGACAATTCTCACAAGAACAATGCTTACTAAAATTAGAAAATTTGAGTAGTCCTAGCTACTAAGAATTTCAATCTATATTACAACAATTTCTCAAAAGAAAACTCCAAAACTACTCAGCTTCAAAGATGAATTCCATCAAATATTTAAGGACAATTAAAAAGAAACATGTCCTATCTTGTTATTTGAGACAATATGACCTTGATTACCAATATGAATACCAACTGAAAATCATACACCAATCTATTCAGCGATAGAGATGTCAAAGACAGAAGAAGAGGGTGAAAGCACAAATACAACAAAATTTTGATAAATGGAAAACAAGTGATCAGATTCAAGGTGTATCCTAAACTGATAGTAGAAAAACACAAGGAACAACTCAATTTACAATGTCTAACTCACAAACTCTTCAGAGATGGCAACACCAGTACTTAAGGAAACAGGGTTTAAGATGGGGTGAGAAAAAAGACCGGCCCAAAGCTCCGTTCATTTATTTCCCTAGATCTTCTTTCCAGCTCTACACTTCTAATTCCTTCCCACACTCTAACGGAAGTAGGGGTAACGTAAAACACTTAACATACATAAAACAGAGTGGCGCAAATGTCTGAAATAGTCCATGCTAAAATTGCTAGCCTGTCACTCCATTGAGCTCCCCAAATGCTGACAGCCAGTTCATGACCTTACAAGTAGGACAGAAAAAGAACCATTTTGGGATAGGAGAACCAGATCAAGAAGCAAAGAGCTAAAGACAATAAGGGTCCGTACACAATGACCCACACTGATCCGCCTCAAGCCCAGGAACCTAGAGAACTTCCAGTTAGCCTTTTTGTTTTGATGCTGGTGACTGAACCCAGGACCTTCCCACTGAGGTACAACCTTTGCCTTCCCACTCTTTTTTTTTGGAGAAAGGGTCTCACTAAATTGCCCAAACAGGGCTCAAATTTGTAATCCTCCTGCCTCAGCCTCCCAAATCCTGGGATTACAGGTGTTTGTCACTATGCCCAGCTCCATTCAGCATTTTAATACTCTACTATAAAATACAAATAGACAAAGAACACCATATATAAATGAAAGCCTCTAACATGAAAGCTGGGGATAAAACAGATTTAAAAGGGGGCTGCTGGGCCAGGGATTTAGCTCAGTGGTTTCACCGCCTGCTGCGTAAGCACAAGGACCCAAGTTCGATCCCTGGTACCAAATAAATAAATAAATAAATAAATAAATAAATAAAAGGGGGCTGCTGAGTAAGTTTATGGGAAGACCTTTCATCAAAGGATACAAAGTTGCAGTTATGAAGGATGAAAATGTCTAGAGACCTAATGTATGGGATGAGGACTATAGTTAATAATATAGTATTGTATTCTAGAAATTTGCTAAGACAGTAAATTTTACACACTCCTACACTCCCCAGCAAAATAGGGTAAATGTGATGAGATGATGGACTTGACGATAGTAATCGTTTCACTATGCACATATGTACCAAAATACTATGTTGTATACCTTTACATATAATAAAACCTAAAGGAACCAGGCCTGTAATACCAGCATTCAGGAGGCTGAGGCAGGAGGATCACTGCAAGTTCAAGGCCAGTCCGGGCTACATAGTGAGACGCTGTCTCAACCCCACCCCTAATAATAATAATAATAAAAAATAAAACTTAGGAACAATTAGAAGAAGACAGACTTACAGGAAAAGAATACCAAAAAGAACAAAAGATAAAGCATTGAAAAATAGAAAATTTAAGAAAATTGGAGGACCTACCCAAGAGGTTTCATTTCTAAAAAACAGAATTTTCAGAAAGAAAAGAACAAAACAAAACAAAAAGTGGGCAGTTTATCAAAAACTATAACAAGAAAATGTCTCAGAACTGAAAGTTTCCAGGAGCTGGACGTGGTGGCATGTACTCTCAGCACTGGGGAGGCTAAGGTAGGAGGACCAATGCAAGTTCAAGGCCAGCCTGGGCTACAGAGTGAGTTCAGGGCCAGCCTGAACTACAAAGGGAGACCTTGCCTCAAGAAACAAAACAACACCACCAACAACAAAAAGAAACAAAACAACATAAAGAACTAAGGGGCTGGGGATTTAGCTCAGTGGTTCCAGCGCCTGCCTCGCAAGCGCAAGGTCCTGAGTTCAATCCCCGGTACCCAAAAATAAATAAATAAATAAGCAAGCCCACAAAGGACCCAGTGTAATATATTAAACCACATCACCAACCTGTACTAGTATGGAATTCTTGAACTTCTGGAGGAAAAAAATGGGAAGGGGAAAAAAACAGAAGAGGGGATGTATAAACATCTATTGTGTAAGGCAAAAACAAGCTGCATATTAAAAATATCAACTCTTGGGCCAGGGATTTAGCTCAGTGGTGCCAGCGCCTGCCTTGCAAGTGCACGGTCCCGAGTTCCATCCCAGGTACCAAAAAAACCCCAAAAGATTATACAAAAATATCAACTCTCAAAATGACCTTAGAAGCTGGAGCTTGGCTCAGTGGTAGAGTACTTCCTTCACATGTGAGTCCCTGGGTTTAACCCCCAGCAATGCAAAAAAGAAAGATGCTTAAAGAAGACCAGATGTAGTTGGCACACACCTGTAATCCCACTGAGAGGCTGAGGCAGGGGGATCAAAAAGTCAAACCAAGCCTGGAAAACTTTGCAAGACCCTGTCTCAAAATAGAACATAAAAAAGGGCTAGGGATGTAGCTCAATGAGAAGGCCCTGGGTTCCATTCCCACTGCCACACACACACACACACAAAGATGCTTAGAGAGAACCAATCTAAAATAAAGTTGGTCAGAAAGCTTTGAGAGAAACTTCTGACTCCAGCAAGGTGAAAACACTGAAACCAAAGTATTAGAAACACAAGATAATTTGGAGATTAGTGATTAAGAATAAAAATTTTTTCGATCCCCAGTACCAAAAAAAAGAAGAAGAAAAATTTTTAAAAGGCAAATTAACTCCAGGAAAGACAAAACACTGAGCAAGGAAGGAAAAGAAAACAAAATACTATAAGGCTCAACTGTGACTACAATTTAAATATTCATAACAGTGTTACAAACTTGACAAAAATCACTCTGTAACTCCTATGTAACAAAAGTAGAAACAAAGTGAAATCCTCATTTTCCATAGTGGGAGGACAACAGACTAAAACAAAAATTAAGCAGCAGCATTATAAGCATATTATAAAGAGAAAGGAAGGAAAATATCAAAAGAATCATTTAAAGCAGTTAAAAGTGCTTTCCATGAGAGGGCAGGCCACGGGATGAGGGAGGAACAACTGCAGGGCTACTGTCTTTTTGGGCGGTGGAGGGGGGCACCAGCTTTTTAATAAGCTTTGTAGAACAGCTTGACTTTCTAAGCAATGTGCATGTATAATTTTAGTAAAATCAAAAACTTAAATTTTAAAAAGGTAAAACACTTACCAATATACTTTTCTTGCTTTTTGAATAGAGGTAACTGTTTGAACTTCTTTTAATGTTTGCTTTGTTTTCTTTTCTGCTGACTTGAATGCCTATTTATGAGAAAATAATTTAAAGTTTGTTTAGAATATGTGTAAATAACACCAAAACAAACAATAGCTTTTAAAATGTTACAAAATGACACTATGTAAAAAGAAATGAGGGCCAGGGATTTTAGCTCAGTGGTTCTGCTGCCTGCCTTGCAAGGACCCAAGTTCAATCCCTGGTTCCAAAAAAAAAAAGTAATGAATAAAAATCTTTTTAAAAAAAATTCTTCTATTGGTATATTTTACGTTTACATTTAACACTGGGTGCTTGTACCTGTACATGATGTATCTTAGTTCTTATTTTTTTTTCCCATTACCTGTGCACCCTTCACCCGCTCCACCCTTCCCTATGTACATAGATTTCGTTTCCATTTTGTTTTTTCTTTTCTCATAATTTTTCCTTTCTCTTCTTCCCTTTCCCGTTCCCCTCCCACCACCCGTACACCTTTGGACCTTTCCTATTTCAAATTATCAATTATTCATTTTAATCCTTATGTACACTTTTAGTTTCTTACACTACAGAAACTATTCGGTATTTACACGTGTCCTATTTATTTCACATAAGAGTATGGCCTCAATGTGTATCCATTTAGCTATAAATGACTCTAGTTTCTCATCCTTTATACCTGAGCAGTACTCCATTTTATGACAAATAAAAATCTTGTGCCTCAAATACTAACTTGCCAAAGATTTACCATATGCAAATATTTGCTCCAGACCTAAAAATTAAGAACCATCTTGTTCACTTATCTGATTCTAAGTGCCTATCTAGCACTTTCAGATGCTAGGCTGGATATGGGGATGTAATAGTGAACAAGACTGACAAAAAGCCCCCACCCCACTGGGCTCTAGAAGAGAGAACTATTAAATGTGTAATCATTCAAATAAACATATCATAGGTGCTTGAAAAAATACTATGACAGTACAAGAGGACTCCATTTATGCTGGATTACGGTCAAAGAAGGCATCTCTGAGAAAACAGCACTTAAGCTAAAGCCTGAAAAACCAATGAAGCTATCAAAGAATAAGAAGAGTATTATAGGGCTGGGTAGGATTTAGCTCAGTGGTTCTGCCGCCTGCCTCGAAAGTGCAAGGTCCCGAGTTTGATCCCTGGTACCAAAAAAAAAAAGACTTCTACAAACCCAAAGGAAGACCAGCAAGCATTAATCCAAGAGCAAAATGTCAAGAAATAAGGTTGCAGTAAGTAGTAGAGAGCCAAGTCATTAGAGCTACTCATTTAACAGAAGTGCGTGCCTATTCTGTTCCAGGTATATTCCAGGGATCAGGACCAGCAATGAACAAAACAAAGATGAATGGATGATTTTTTTTCTTGAGACAGGATCTCAGTATGCAGCCCAGGAACCCTCAAACTCATGATCTTCCTGTCTCAGCTGGTGCTGGGATTATAGACTTGCACCACCACACCCAGCAAATCATAAAAATTTTGAGGGAAAGCATTTCAGGCAGAAAGAATAGTAAGTACAAAGGCCCTCAGAGGTCAGCAATGCAGCATGGTTTTAGGAACAGCTATGACTCCAATGCAGCCAGAAAAAGCGTGCAAAAGAAGGAATGCAGGTGATGAGGTCAGAAGGAAGAGATCAGACAGGCTGTTGAGGCCAGGAGAAGAGCTCCGAACTGTGTTAAGATGGGAAGCACCTTGAAGGTTCTGAGTAGAGGATGGACTTCACTTGTGATTTTAAAGCTTCACTATGGTTCTTATGTGAACAGGCTATAGCTGAAGAGGTAGGACATCCAGTGAGAGAATAACATAGTCTATGTGAACACAGATAACAGCAGCCTGATTGCTAAAAACAGAAATGTGGCCAGACTCTGGTGAAAATTTAAAATAAAAATCAAAAAGATCTGCTGACAGATTGGATACAGTTGAAAGAATTCAGGATACCTCCAAAATCTGAGCAGAGAATGAAGGTGTTATTTGCTCAGATGGAAAAGAATGAGGGAAGGAGCAAGTTTGGGGAAGAAAACAACTACTGGGCCGGGGATTTAGCTCAGTAGTTCTGGCGCCTGCCTCGTGAATACAAGGTCCCAAGTTCAATCCCCGGTACCAAAAAAAAAAAAAGTGTAAAAGAAAACAAGTACTGAAAATACACACATTTAAAACAAAATTAAATTGAAAGATATTTCTGAATTAGAAAGTTTCATTTTAAACACAAAAAATTATTAGGGTGGGTCAGGGGATTTAGCTCAGTGGTTCCACTGGCTGCCTCGCAAGGGCAAGGACCTGAGTTCTATCCCCCGTATCAAAAAAAGATTAAGGTAATTAAAGCAGGCAAAAATAACATTCACTCTAATAAATATTAAGTACCTTCTCAGCAGCTTCAACAGTCTTTTGTGTTTTCTTAGCAGCATATCTCTTGTGATCATAATACCTAAAAATAAAATCGCAGTTTGAGTAAAATCTTTATTCTTTAGCTATTTCTAATTTTACAGATTCTTCAATCACACAGGACAGAGTTGCATTATACACAAAACTAAATTTTAAAGAACTATTTCAGGGGCTGGGGATTTAGCTCAGCAGCACTGCACGTGCCTTGCAAGTGGCAAGGTCCTGAGTTCGATCCCCAGTACGGGGCGGCGGGGGGGGGCTATTTCACCAAAAGTAGCATGTGCAGGTAAAATAACAACTGTTCTTTGTTTTTTTTTGGAACAACTGTATTTAATATCTTTAATACCCTTACTAACTGCAAATATCTTATCTAAAATTTGTACTTAAATAACTTACTTTTTGGCATTGGCATATGCTGACAAGCTGAGATCAACATCAACAAGCAATGGCTTATTTTTCTGAGGCTTCTGCAGCTGTTTATTCTTTTGCTTTTTCTTTTTTCCTTTTGGTGGTTCAGTTTCATTTTTCTCAACACTGACGTCACCATCAGCATCATCATCTTCCTCCTCTGATAATAAGTATGGATTTCTATTAAAAATATTCAATAGTATTTCACTAATGTCAATGACATCTCTTATATTTTCAATTTTTTTCCTCAATGAAATTATATATGGCTCATAATACTGTACTTTTTCTGGAGACAGGGTCTCACTATGCAATTCAGGGTGGCTTTGAACTCACTATGTAGTGTAGGCTGGCCTTGAATTCATGGCAATCCTCCTGCCTCAGCCTCATGAGTGCTGAGATTACAGGCGTGCACCACCATGCCTGGCTGAGTACTGTTCTTTAAGAGTTTCATTATTTACTGTAGTGTAATTAATTTTTCCTATTTCTGAGAATAAATTTTCAAATACAAAGCCTTTAAATGAATACAGTGAACTATTGAATAACAAAATAAAGACAAATGCTAACTACTTAACCAAGAATCAAGCTTACCTCAGCAGCATTGTAACATGATTTGTTTGCAGTTTTAATTCTTTGATTGCACTTGCAACAGGGTCTCCTTGAGCTTGGGCTTCTTTCACAATGACCCCGATTTCCGTCCAGTCTATCTGATTGGCTAAAGCACTTCGAACCACCTGTATGGCTCTGTCCACTACCTGTAGGTTCATCTCTATGAGCTCTCCTTTCAGTTTATCTATTTCCTTAAGAGGAAAACAGACACACTGATTATAATGCCATTTGAGGTTATCATTTTTTCAAAAGCATCTGAAAAGGTTAAACACAGTACCTGAGCCTGTTGAAGAGCTTCTAATCTGTTTTCATGATCCTTTCGGACATTATCTAATTTCTTCAATGCTTGTTTTTCCTTTGGGTGAGAAAACACATTATTTTAAAACCTAGATTTCTCCTGCCTTGTGGTACCCTCTCTCTCTCTCCTATCTTCTAAAACTACCCTGACTCCACCTTGCCCCTCCCCGTTGTCAGCTAGCTAAAGTTCCTCCCACAGTCCGCTTTCCTGAGCCTGTCCCACTAGAAAATGCTTCATCCTCTGTCTGCATACCTTTCTGATTATAGGTTACATTACTGTAAGATAGGCCCCTAACTCCCTGGCATTACTAAAACAAGCAGAATTCAAGACATTTTTTCCTTATGGCATAAAAGTAAATTTTGGTGAAATAATTTCTTATAGGGCATCAATTACCAAACACGTTATTTTATTTTTACTTTTAATTTTATCGGCATTATTTCCAGTATTTTATAGAGCAACCCTCCCCCCAAATTAACAACAGCCGGGCATGGTGGCACATGGCTGTAATCCCAGCACTCAGCAGGCTGAGGCAAGAAGACTGCAAGATGGAGTCCAGCTTCAGCAATTTGGTAAGACCCTGTCAACACATAAAAAATAAAGACATGGGGATGTAGCTCAGTGAAAAGCCCCTCATTCCCTCCTCATTACCATAAAACAAAACCAATCAACCAACAAAAAAGGTTCATGATGGTTATCTGACCTTCTGTATACCACTTTCTCATATGTAACTTAACATTCCAAGGCCACTGATGTGGAGACAAAGTTTCTAACATTAGTAACTGCACCACCAATTAATGACTATTCAAATGCTGGATGAAACATTAAAAAAATTTAAATCATATGAATGGTGAAAATTAAAAGAACTTCATGGGCTGGGGATTTAGCTCAGTGGTTTTGCCGCTTGCTGTGCAAGCACAAGGACCCGAGTTGGATCCCCAGTACCAAAAAAAAAAAAAAAAAAAGAACTTCAATCAAGCACTGTGCCACATGCCTGTAATCTCAACACTCAGGAAGCTGAGCCAGGAGGATCATTAATAGTTCAAAGCAAGATTGGGCAACATAAAGTTCAAGGCCAGCCTGAACTATATAGCAATACCTTGTCTCTAAAAATAAACCTAAAATGATTACCAAAATAAATCACAGGTTCAGGCTGAGTATCTCTTATCCTAAAAGCATGGGACCGAAAGTATTGCAGATTTTGGAATATTTTGGATTTTACAGTATTTGTATAGACTTTACCGTTTCTGTATCCCTAACTTGAAAATCTGAAACTTTCTGAGCACCAGCAATGCTAAAAAAAAAAAAGTTTCAGATATTGTGGCACTTCAGATCAGATTAGAGATGCCCAGCCTGTATTCTGATATACAGAAAACCACAGGAATCAGTGTTACAGCTAAGCTATTTTTACGAGCCAAAGTACTGCCACCACGTGATAATCACATTATGTAATTCATTTAACTACCTGTTTTTTTGTTTTGTTTTTTTTTGTGGTACTGGGGATTGAACTCAGGACCTTGGGCTTGTGAGGCAGGCACAGTGCCACTGAGCTAAATCCCCAGCCCACATTAACTACCTGTTTTGAAACTGCGCTGTTAACCAGGGATGGTGACACATTTATAGTCCAAGCATGCAGAAGGCTCAGGGAGGAGGATCACAAATCACAATTTACACAGTGAATTGCTGTCTTCAGCCTGGGCAATTTAATAACTTGGCAAGCTCCTGCTTCATAAACAAAAATTTTTTTTAAAAAGCGGGCTGAGGATGAAGCCCAATGTGAAGGCCCTGGGTTCAATCCTTAGTACCACCAAAAACAAAAAACAGCTGAAGGGGAGAGGGTGCAAAGAATCATATTATTTGAAATTTTTGCATAAAAATTTTCAGACTTTAGTAATATTTTTGAAAATCCAAACTAAGAGTGACCGTTGCCAATTTGTGAATTTTTTTGGGGGGGGGTACCAGGGATTGAACTCGAGACCTTGTGCTTACGAGGCAGGCACTGGAACCACTGAGCTAAATCCCCAGCCCAAAAGGATCGTTTTATGTTGTTGTTATTTGTTTTATTTTATTTTTTTGGTTCCAGGGATTGAACTTGGGTCCTTGTGCTTTCAAGACAGGTGGTGGAACCACTCAGCTAAATCCCTGGCCCATTGTGAAATTATTTTTTAAGAAATCCTCTAAATACCTGGTCAAATGGGCTAGAAAAATAATGCATATTAAATCTTTCTTACAGAGTTACGATATACAGAAAATGTATTATTAAAGATCGACTTTTAAAATTTTTTAAAACTTTTTTTAAAAAAACACCATGTATTATTAAAAACAAAGAAAAATCTTTTTTCCGTTCTCTTGCCAATTTAAAATCTCCCCAGAACAGTATTCTCATAAATGCCAAGTTTGAGAAATTTTTTGTTGCTTTAATAAAGCAAACCATACTGGGGTATAAATAACAGGTTTCACCTTCTCATTTTATTCTTTTTTTTTTTTTGGTACTGGGGATCGAACTTGGGTCCTTGCGCTTGCACAGCAGGTGGCGAAACCACTAAGCTAAATCCCCAGCCCTTTCTTTTGGTTTTTTGAGATAAGGTCTTGCTATGTAGTTCAGGCTTGTCTTAAACTCACTATGTTGCCCAGGCTGGCCTCAAACTCATGGTGATCCTCCAATCTTAGCCTCTCAAGTGCTGGGATTACAGACATGCACCACTATGCCCAGCTATTTCCCTTTTCTGAGTGTATCTGACAAATGGATGGAATAAATGAGGATATACTTTACTACAATGGGATACTATAATACTATACTTTACTCTATTATAAACCAAGAGATCAGGGAGTTCCCATACCTCTTCCCCCACTACTTCTGAGAGGCTGCTCATTCCTAAATGAGTGCATTATTGTTATGGCTGTGTCTAGATGTCCCCGCAAAGCCTCATGCAGTCCTAGGTGAGGTTTTTCAGAGTAACTGGATCTAGAGTGTGTGATGCTAGGACTGATTCATGGTGCAGTGCTAAGGTTAAGGATGCTGGGATTAAGGGTGTGATAAAATAGAAGGAACAGAAAGAAAGCTGCCATTGTCACTGCTGGTCAGTTGCTTGCTATTGCTGTCTTCTGCCCGCCATGGACTGTTTCTCCTCTGTGATGCCCCTTTGCCTTGGAACCAGCCAACTATGAACTGAAACCTCTATAAACTATGAGTCAAATAAACCTCTCCTCCCTTAACCTGTGGGTATTGTCCATTTTGTCTCAGCAAGGACAAAAATCACTAAGACAATCAACTACTTATCAAACTATTCTAAGACTAGCTGGTTTAATATAAGTTTTTAATAATACCATACCTGCTGTAAAGCTTTCAAATCAATTTTCTGACCTTCTATCTTCGAATAAAATTCATCCACGGCCTTATTTAAAAAGAGAAAAAAACTAGCTTTAAAAAAATACGGTCTCTACTTCAATTTGCATACACAGAATGTAGCCTACTTGTTTCATAATGCTATTCAAAGAACTTGAACAGATTTCCAGTAAATTTATTATGCAGCTAAACAGTATCAAAAATCAAATTTCAAGCTGGGGATTTAACTCAGTGACACTGCACCTGCCTCCCAACAGCAAGGTCCTGAGTTCGATCCCTGGTACCAAAAAAAAAATCAAATTTCAGGGCGAGGGATTTAGTTCAGTGGTACTGCACCTGCCTTACAAGTGCAAGGTCCTGAGTTGGATTCCTCATACCAGAAAAAAAAAATCAAATTTCAGCCAGGCATGGTGGCCCATGCCTGTAATCCCACACTCAGGAGGCTGAAGCAGGAGGATTGCTGCAAGTTTGAGGCCAGTCTGGGCTACATAGTAAGTTCAAGGCCAGCCTGAACTATATAGTGAGACTGTATCAAAAAGAAAAAATAAAAATTAAAAAAATCAAATTACATTGAAATCTTTGGTCCTTCATTTTGAAATAAAGTGGCAACAACTGTTTCCAGAAGCTATATCTGTAACTCCATTGACCTTCAATGCCCAGATTCATAGTGATTGTGAAGAATATTTTTGATTTCTCAATGAAAGCAAGCTGACAGAAACTTAACAGTGCATATAATTCTGATGCTAACTATCTGATTAAAAAACAGAAACAGAAAACCCACCTTGTCAAATGATTCAAATTCTATATATGGACATTGAGAATGTTGGGAAAACAAGAAAGGATGAAATTCCTCATACCTGTAAAATATATTTATTACATCACATTCAAGAACATTAATAAATACCCAAAGCAAATTGACCCATGCCTACATGCTTACGTGAGTATGTCTTCAACTGGTTTATCTATTTCCAGGCTTGGTTTTATTTCTCTTTTCTGGATGATATACCCCTACAAAAATCCAATATTAAAATTAATTTTGTTCATAATTAACAAAGATCTATTCTTCCTGTCTGATACTAATTTAATTTTTTATAAGTAAAGAAATACCTGGAATAGAGAAGGAAAACATTTATAATTTTTAAAATGTCTATTAGAGGGCTACAAATCACCTAATTTTTAAAAACTGCTGGTAAATTAAAATATGCTTCTTTGTCTAAAATCAATTCAAGAAGACATTCTCAATCTTCAACTTTTCTGAAATGCTGATACTGACTGACATTGTACTTTCTATAAAAAAATAAGAAACAAGGGCTGGGGGTATAGTACGATGGTGGTAAAGCACTAGCCTAGCACATGCCAGGAGCTGGGTCTAATTCTCAGCACCAGCACTTCAAAAAACAAGAGCAGGGGGGTGGCGGGGGGATTTAGCTCAGTGGTTTCACCACCTGCTGCGCAAGTGCAAAAGCGCAAGCCGAGTGCCCAAGCCGAGTGCCGAGTTCGATCCCCAGTACCAAAAAAAAAAAAAACAAGACCCGGGGATGGTGGTGTACACCGTAATCCAGCACTTGGGAGGCTGAGGCAACAGGATCGCCATGAGTTCAAACTCAGCCTGGTCTACATAGTGAGTTCAAGGCCAGCCTGAACTATAAATCCAGAACTTATCTCAAAAACAAAACGAATAAACAAAAATTACAAACCAACAGTAATTTTAAAAAAAGAAAAACCTACCCTGAGGCTAGAGATGTACCTCAACAGTATTTAACATGCACAAGGCCTTGTGTTTAGCCAGGAATGGTGGTGCACACCTATAATCTCAGCACTCAGGAGCCAGAGACAGGAGGATCACCTTGAGTTTGAGGCCAGCTGGGGCTAGTGAACTCAAGCCCAGCCTGAACTACATGCCAAGACCCTGTCTCAAAAAAAAAAAAACAAGGGCTGGGGATTTACCTCAGTGTGCCAGGCTTGCCTGGCAAGCTCAAGGTCCTGAGTTTGATCCCCAGTATGGGGTGGGGGGACAGGACAGGACAGGATAGGACTCTCAGCTCAAAAAAAACCCCAAAAACAAGTAGTACCAAAAACTAAAAAAACCCCCAAAAAACAAAAAACAAAAACAAAACCCAAAACCTACTACTACTCTGGAATAAGCATATTACAGATACAAATTTTCCAAACTAGAAAAATTCAATGTACATATATTGATCCTCTAATGAACACTTAATATGTTTCCAAATAAACCACAACAATATACAATAAGTACACATGGTGTTACCTTTCCATGGAAGTTGGATGTTGTTTTCATATAGTCTTCTGCCTTCTGCATACAATCAAGCACTTTTTCAATATCTGAGAATTAAAAAAAAGAAGTTCCAATCAAGTGTCAACTAAACATTCTTAACCATGCAGAAAAACAGAGAAGTATGAAATATAAAGTGCTCAAGAAAAAATATTTTTTCATGTCCCTAATTGGTTTACATAATGGCCAGCCTATTACTGAATCTTATCTTTCCTTTTCTTTTCCTAAATTCCCACATATATTTTGGTCCACCTCTGGATTCTTTATTCTGTATGTTGCTTCCCTAAAAGGTTACCAGATTTTTGTTTGCTTGTTTTTTGCAACAGTGGGGATTAAACCCAGGGCCTCACAAAAGATAGGCAAGTGTTCTATCACTGAGCCCTACATCCTTGGCCCTTTTTATTATTGCTATTCTTATTATTCTGCACACTGGAGATTAAACCCACAGCATCATAAAAACCTAATTCAAGGGGCCAGGGATTTAGCTCAGTGGTTCCAGCGCCTGCCTCGCAAGCGCAAGGTCCTGAGTTTGACCCCTGGCACCAAAAAAAAAACAACAAAAAAAACACCTAATTCAATCATACAACCACACCAAAGTAGCACAGAAATTCAAATGCGTGAATAACACTATTTCTAGCATCACCCCATGTCCTAAGTCCAAAGGGTAATAATTCAACTTCTCAGAATTACAACTGCCCCAAGTGCAGTAACCAGTCCAAAAATGTAGAGCATGGAAAGGGAAAATAATCTAAAGTCAAAAGGTATGAAGGCAGATCAAGAGATTGAACTGTAGGGGCCGGGGATTTAGCTCAGTGGTGCTGCTGCCTGCCTCACAAGCACAAGATCCTGAGTTTGATCCCTGGTAAAAAAGATTGAACTGTATATTACTAGGGATAAAGCTCCACACTAGAAAAGACATTAGGAATACCCGCAGGTGTAGGACACTCATAGGTCAAATGTGTTTAAATGTAAAAACTACCTATTATTGGGCTCGGGATTTAGCTCAGTGGTTTTGCCGCCTGCTGCACAAGCGCAAGGACCCGAGTTCGATCCCCAGTACCAAAAACAAAAAAACAAAAAAACCCTATTATTATTTGATTAGAAATTCATCTTTTTTTTTAAAGGGGAAAGGTTTATTTGGCTTACAGTTCATAGAGGTTTCAGTATATAGTTGGCTGGCTCCAAGACAGAGTGGCACATGGCAGAGGGGCATCGCAGAAGAGAAACAGTTCAGGGCAGCAAAAGTAACAAGCAGGAGACAAGCCTCTTTCTGACCCTTATACTGTTTCCAGGCTACTGGGATTAGGGCAGCGTCAAGCCAACAATGGACTTATTTAGTAACCACATACTCTAGATTCAGCCACCTCTGAAAAAAAAGCCCCACCTACAATTGCATGAAGCTTTGGGGGAACATCTGAACACAAGCCGTAACATTACTCCCCTTACCCCCAAAGACTCATGCATATCCCTTAATGCAAAAAAAGCATTTAGTCCATCTCTAAGAGTTGCCAAAGTCCTAATCGTTTCAGCATTGCTGAAAAGTCCAAGTCCAAAGTCTCCTCTGAGATTTAAGGCAAACTCTTAGCTACAAGCCCAGTTCATAGAGGGTTCAGTCCATAGCTGGCTGGTTTCAAGGCAGTGGCACATGGCAGAAGGAAAGCAACAAGTAAATTCACCATTTTAAAAAAGGAATAAATGGGGGCTTGGGGTGTAGTTCTGTGGCAGAGTGTTTGCCTAAAATATTTAAGGCCCTGGGTTTGATTCCCAGCACCACTTGGACACATAAAAGAAAGCAAGTGGAAATGGACAAAACTTGCACTACAAAGACATACCTTTGCTTTCAAGTTTTTCATCCACTTTGACATTGCCAGAGAATCCATTTTCTATAAGGCAGTGCTCAAGGAGAGCTGGTCCATAGGCTACAAAAGCAGAGGAAATTGTTTTTAGTATTTTCCTATAACACTGAATATTAAAAAACGTATGTTTATATTCCCACAAGAGGGGCGGGAATTTAGTTCAGTGATTCCAGCGCCTGTCGTGCAACCACAAGGTCCCACGTTTGATCCCTGGTACCACAAAAAAAAAAAAATTCCCACAAGAATAGTGTACTCCATAAAAACAGCTAGTAAAAATAAAACTAAGTTTACTTATTTTGAATTGTTATTAGAAATAACAACTGAGGGGCCGGGGATTTAGCTCAGTGGTTCTGCCACCTGCCTCAAAAGCACAAGGTCCCGAGTTCGATCCCCATACCAAAAAAAAAAAGAAATAACAAATAACAATTGAAGTAGTTTCAGACATTTGAGATTATAATAAACAGAGAAATCAGTGCACATTATAGGAATTTAACAGCACTCAACACTTATGAAAAAAGATTATAGCAAGGCATGGTGGCTCATGACTGTAATCCTAGCACTCTGGGAGGCTGAGGCAGGAAGACAGTGAGTTTAAGCCTAGCTCATGCAACCAACTCAGCAACCTAGGCCCTGTCTCAAAAACAAAACCAAAACAATATATATATTATATATACATATGATATAAATATAAAATGGAGCTCAGTGTAAAGGCACCAGGTTCAATCCCCATATTATCAAAAAAAAAAAAAAAGAAACCAAGACATGAGGGGATTTATTCCTGGAATACAAGGTTTGTTTAGGAGTGATTGGTGTGTTGATTAAAAAATGACCAAGAGGGGCCGGAGATTTAGCTCAGTGGTTCCAGCACCTGCCTCACAAGCGCAAGGTCCTGAGTTCGATCCCCGGTGCCAAAAAAAACAAAAACAAAAACAAAAACGACCAAATGGCTTTAATAAACATTTCTCAAAAGAAGACATGGCCAAGAAGTATGTTTTTTAAAAAGCGCTCAGCCCTACTAATCATCAGGGAAAATACAAATCAAAACCACAATAAAATATCACCTCAATCCAGTAGGAATGAGTATTATCAAAAATAAAGACAGGGCCGGGGATTTAGCTCAGTGGTTCCACCGCCTGCCTCATAAGCACAAGGTCCTGAGTTCGATCCCTGGTACCAAAAAACAAAAACAAAACAAAAAAGAATAAAGATGTAAGTGCTGGTAGGGATGTGGAAAAAACTGCTTTCTCAGAATACTACAGCTAACACTGAAGTACTAATAACATACTCTGCACAACTTTTAAATAAAATCTGATACAAAGAGTTCAAACTTTATGTGGTATAACTTCTTAGGGCTGGAGATGTAGCTCAATGACAGGCCTACTATCCAGGGGGCCCTGGGTTTAATGCTTAGTACTAAAGGCAAAACAAAACAAAAAACTTTTGGCTCCTTGAAAACAAATTCTTACTTAAGAGATCATTTAAAAATCCTCATTCAAATTTTCAACCAGAATATAGCTATGTTTCTGGAAAAAAAAAAAACATTATCTTGCAAACATTTCCTCATTATATGCAGGATTACTCACGAAGTAATGGGTTAAGAACTCTCTTCAGTAATTCTCCCTTAGGTGCACTGGCTATTACTTCAGTCAATCTGTGAAAAAATTTGGCATCTCTTACTACCCTATATGTAATAAACCTTACACCAGCATTCCCATCCACACTACTTTCAATTGCTTCAATGTCACCTGAACTTTACAATCCCCTGAAATATAACACAGATCAGTCTCTTTTATAGGTGAGAAAATGGGTCATAAATCTAATTTATTGAAGATTAGTAGGTTCCTGGGCCAGGGATTTAGCTGTGTGCTTCGTCTGCCTGGCAAGCACAAGGTCCTGAGTTTGATCCCCAGTACCAAGGGAAAAAAAAAAAGTAGTAGGTTCCAGAACAGCAGCCTGGGACTTCAATCCAGGTTTTCTAAGAGAAATCAGTAATTTTTCAAATAAGTCACAAACCTTAGCATCAATGTGCCCACATATGAGTGACATGAAAGAGACACTTTTATATGAAAGTTAAATGGCATTTGTGAATCGTGCCATAGCTTAACATCTGAATAACACCTGAAATGGCTTTACCTAACTAACCAATTAATAAAAACTCTTCCCCTCTCTCCTCCTACTGGGGATTAAACTCAGGGCCTGAACACTGGGCTACATCTTCAGTCCCCACTCCTCCCCCTTTTGAGACAGGCTCTCGATAAAGCTGTTGAATTGCCAAGGCTGTGCTTGAATTTGTGATCCTCCTGCCTCCACCTCCCAGAGCAATGGATTACAGGCATGCACCACCATATCTGGCCGAGAACTCCTACTCCCGTAGATCAATGTGGCCCCGATTAGCTGCATCAGCATTACCAGAGAACTTGTTAGAAATGCAAATTCCTGGGCCCTACACTAGATCAATTAAATTAGCAAAGACAGCCAATCTAGAACTTAACAAGCCTTTCAGGTAATTCTGATGCATGCTCAACTTTGAAGACTTCTACGGTAGACTAATAGTCAGCGCAGCCTTCATTACCACCTTAACTTATCCTACTTCTCAAGTAAGCTAGAATTTCTATCTGCCTTTGAACTCTGCCCAAAATACAATATATGTCTTCTCAGAGAATAGCTAAAGTATCCCCTCACTTTACCAAAAAAATAAACATCTGAAGTAACCCAAAACTCAGTTTTAAAAAACACATTTTCAGCTGAGCATGGCAGCATACACCTGTATTCCCAGCATTCATAAGGCTGAGGCAGGAGGATCACCGAAACTTTGAGGCCAGCGTGAGGTATATAGCGGGTTCAAGGCCAGAATGAACTAATATAATGAGACCTTGTCTCAAAAAAATAAATAATGGCCGGGGATTTAGCTCAGTGGTACTTGCACCTGCCTCACAAGGTCCTAAGTTCGATCCCCAGTACAAGAAAAAAGAAAAATAAATAAATAACCAACCAATCAACCAACCAACCACATTTTCTACTCCCAAATCAGGTTTAATTGTTTACATACATATTTATTTCAAGCAGTCTAAATTTCTTACCCAACTAAACAAAATATTTATGACGGTTTTTCATATTCTGAAGTATGACCTGTTTTACTTTTTAAAACAGTCTGAAATGAGCTTATAAACAAAAGGTGTTACCTTTCCAAAGTAAGCAGAGGTTCAGCAGCTCTAGCATGATCCACTGGATAGCGTTCACGAACAGCAAATTTAACATCATCTGCCTCATCAGTTCGAAACCTTAGGATATTTAAAATCAAGTACTCATAATCTGTAAGAATAATGTTTCCCTGCAATAGAGTAAAATACAATTTAATGCTTTCCTAAATCTGTCTTCAAACTTTTGAAAAAGTGAGAAAGAGGTCTGGGTGTGTGGCACATGCCTAGAATCCTGGCTACTCAGGAGGCTGAGGCAAGAGGATAGTGAGTTCGAGGCTAGCTGTTGATACTCTATCCCCAAAAGAAAAAAAGTGTAGTTAAAGTCACAAATATGAAATTACAAAACAAAAGCACCATAGTTATATCAAGTGCTCCTTGTAACTGCCTGGCCCAGACTGTGAAATCATACAGACAAATTTTGAAGACTCCAAGTTTGAAACACTGAGGGAATCTAGAGCAACTTTAAACTCAGTGTCTGAGTATACTGCAGAAGTGACTACCAGGTAAGAGAAGGATGGTAACCCATTAACACCTTGGTGATCACCACCTGGGCTTACTGATTCCCATGAGGCAGGATGCAAACACAGGCTTATTAAGAGAAACAGAACAGGTGTCTTCCAGAAATCAAGCAAAAAATTATGCTATTTTCACCTACAACCAAGCTATCTCCTTTTTGGCGGGTGGGGGTACAAGGTCTCACTATGTTGTTGCAGGGGGTCTCAAATCTGTGGGATTACTCAATCCTCCTGCCTCGGCCTCACAAGAGCTGGAACTTCAGGCATGCACTACATGCTAGGCTGCAATTTATCTTTTAATAGTTTTGGCTTGGCACAATGGCATACACCTGTAGTCCAACATTTGGAAGGTTGAGGCAGGAGGATTGCCAAGAGTTCAAGGTCATCCTGGGCTGTGTAGTGAGTTCAGGGCCAGCCTGAACTACAAATCGAGACCTTGTCTCAAAAAACCAAAGAAGGAAAAAAAAAGAAAAGAAAAATGCTGATAATGTTTAAATATTTAAGCTGAGTATGGTAGCATGCCTGAGTATGCCTGTAAACACAGCACTTGGAAGGATGAGGCAGGACTGCTGGGAGTCCCAGGCCAGCCTGAACTATACCACCAGAGCCTGTCTCAAAAACAAAATTAATTATTTAAAAAAGAGCAAGACAGAAAAACTGTGAAAGTGGATAGCTTATGCAGGCAAAAAATAAATTATGTGCTACACATTTAGAATTAAAGACCTAACTTCAAGGCATGGTATGTTGGTGCACACTTATAAATGTAGCACTTGGGAGGCTGAGGTAATAGGATTGAGATGAGGCCAGCTTGGGTTACAGAGTTCCAGGCCAGCCTGAACGACATAGAGAGACCCTGTCTCAAAACAAAACAAAAGATGTTAACATTAAGAAAAAACCAGGAAGGGCCGGGGATTTAGCTCAGTGGTTCCACCGCCTGCCTTGCAAGCGCAAGGACCCAAGTTTGATCCCCAGTATCAAAAAAAAAAAAAAAAAGAAAAAGAAAAAACCAGGAGAACAGTACACAGCAATTTTCTGTTATCTTTGCAATTTTTCTGTGAATTTAAAATTATTTCTAAATTTAAAAAGTGGTTTAGATTTTTTTTAAAAATTACACAAATTATGCCAATCAAGGAATTTTTACAAATTATGATAGGCATTTTATGATGGTTATAGGTTATAGGATATGCTTTTTTTTTTTTTTTTTTGTGGTACCGGGGATCGAACTTGGGACCTTGCGCTTGCCACACAGGCACCGGAACTACTGAGCTAAATCCCTGGCCCTGCATTTTTTTTTTTAAGGATATGCATTTTTGATAGGTAGTCTATCGTAGTTTTTTAGTTTTTTATTTTTATTTTTTTGAGGCAGTGTCTCAATATGTAGCTCAGGGTGAGCTTAAATTTACAGCAATCCTCCTGCCTCAGCCTCCCAAATGCTGGGACCACAGGTGTGCGCCACAACATCTGGCCTCTACTATATTTTTTGATCAGTATTCTATTTATCTTTGTAAACCATGTGACCATCATCAAATACCCACATAAAGAGCTTTGCTGTTTATATGTATTTTGTTTGTTTGTTTTTTGGTACCAGGGAATGAACTCGGGTCCTTGCGCTTGCGAGGCAGGAGGCAGAACCACTGAGCTAAATGCCCAGCCCCAAGATATGTATTTTTGATAGGTAGTCTACTGTGTTTTTTGATATTCTATTTTTTTTTTTTTTTTTGGTACCAGGGATCGAACTCAGGACCTTGCAGTTTCGAGGCAGGCATGGTGCCACTGAGCTAAATCCCCGGTCCTTGCTGTTTCTTTTTTCCCATTTTTCCCCCAGCCCTCTATTTATCTTTTTTTAAAAAAACCATATAATCATAATCAAATATCCCTATGGAAGAGCTCTGTTGGAGATAGGAGTAGTGGCATACACTTGTAATTTCAGCACTCAGGTGGGTAAAGCAGGAGGGTCATGATTTCGAGTCTAGTTGGGGCTGCACAGCAAGACCCTTTCTCAAAACAAACAAAGGGGGCTGGGGATGTAGCTCAGTGGTTCCACCGCCTGCATCGAAAGTGCAAGGACCCAAGTTCAATCCCCGGTACCAAAAAAACAAAACAAAAACAAAGAAAGAAGGGGGGGATTTAGCTCAGTGGTTCCACTGCATGCCTTGCAAACACAAGGCCCCGAGTTCAGTACCCAGTACCAAAACAAAAACCAACCGAAGAGCTGTGTTGAATTAAGTCAGACAATGACAAGTATCGAAAAGGACGTAGGGTTAACAGGACACTCAACAATGGAAAAAATATTGTGTTGGACATCATGAGCATTTCAAATGTTATACCGAATAAAAGAAGGCTGACCCAATGATTCTATTCCTTTACCCCTTGCCTCAAATTTAACTTACCCTATCATAGAGCTCAATGATTAAGTGATAAGCAGCTTCATCACTTCCAAACTGAAAATCTACAATTCTATCCACTCCAAGCTGTTTTGCACTGACTAATCTCCGACTCTTCAAATGTTTTCGGCACTAGCAAGAAATAAAAGAAAAAAGCATTTATGTAGTAAAAGTAAATCCTTAACTACTTGGTACTTATTTTTTAAGACATTATTATTTTCATTACCATCAGGAAAAATGCTTAAACGGCAATAATGGTTTGGTTTTGGTTTTTTTGGTACTGGGGATCGAACTCAGGACCTTGCGCTTAAGAGGCAAGTGACAGAACCACTGGGCTAAATCCCTGGCCCCTAAAGGCCAATAATGGTATAGTCATAAAAGTTGTCATATAATCATCAAAGGAAAAATTTTATTCTAGATGAGTACTAGCTCAGAAACAGTATTTTATATTTCATTTTTAAAAACAATGGAAGACCTATAGTGAAATATACTTTGCTGCTTTATATGACTGGTAAATGTGTGCCCTGATGACAGCATTTTAAAAATATATATACATATATAACATACTACATATACATAACATACATTACATATATATATATATGGTGTGTGTGCACATGTGTGGTACTGGATCAAACAAACCCAGGGCCTCAGGAATACAAAACAGGCACTGACAGCTGGGGATTTTAGCTCAGTGGTTCCGCTGCCTGCCTCGAAAGTGGAAGGTCCCAAACTCAATCCCCAGTACCAAAAAAAACAAACAACAAAGCAGGCACTGAGCTATATTCCTAACCCTCCCCACTTCTTTAAAGTCTCTAGGCCAATCTCTCTCTTTTTTTTTTTTCTTCCTTCAGTACTGGGGATTGAACTCAGGACCTTGTACTTTCAAGGCAGATGGGACACCATTGAGCTAAATCCTTGGCCCTATGCTAATCTCTTTTTAAGTATCCAAATTTCCTTTTGTCTGTTTCACTTGTGTTCCAAATTAATTGATTTCTACCTCTTCAGATACAAACAGTATCATGAGCCTATGACCCTCTTTTAGTCACCCAACTTACATCCAATTAACCTCTATTTCCACATTCTTTATTAATATAACTCAAACAGAATTTTCCTGGTACTTAAGCCTTTGATTAATCTATTTCATATCCAATACAATAACTACCATTTACCACTCTTTATTAAATCCCATTCCTCCTATGACTCTTCTATTATTTTTTTTTTTTTTTTTTTGGTATCGGGGATCGAACTCCAGACCTTGCACTTTGGAAGCAGGCGGCAGAACCAGTGAGCTAAATCTCAGGCCCTGATTCTTTTATTATTAAAATTAGTGCCAGGCATGGTGGCATATACCTACAGTCTCATCACTCTAGGAAGCTGAGGCAAGAGGATTGCAAATTTGAGCCCAAGCTGGCCAACTTAGTGAAAACCTGTCTCAAAGTAAAAAAAAAAAAAAAAAAAAAAGGACTGGGGATATAGCTCAGTGAAAGCAAAGACCCTGAGTTCAATCCCTAGTCATGGGGGCAGGGAGCCTGAGCAACTTAATGAGATTCTTCTTCAAAATAAAAAATAAAAAGGGGTGGGAATGTAGCCCAGTGACAGAGTACTTGTCTAGCATACATGAGCCCCTGGATTTAATCCCTAGTACCACAAAAATAAATAAACACATTAAACTCAAACACATATGATTTGGTAAATATCTATTGTTTTAGATTACATGTAACATCCTTCAGCACAAATATTTAAGTATAACATGAACCAGTAACAAGACTACCCTGTGGCCTCTAAAAACAATCTTACAATTATTTTTCTTCTTCCCTTCCTTCCTTTCTTGCATTATGGTGGATTGAACCCAGAGTCCTTGCAGTACTTCTAAGATAGGATCTTATAAATTGCACAGGTAGGACTTGAACTTGTGATTGCCCTCCCCAGTGTTGGACTTCAGGTATTTGCCCCTAAGGTTGACTTGTATTTTTAATTTGAAAGAAAGCTTAGTGAAGTGCACATCTATAACCTGAGCCCTCAGATGGCTGAGGCAGGAGGGTCAAGACCTCAAGGCCAGCATGGGCTACATAACAAGATCAAGGGGCCTGTACTACATAATAAAACACTTTCTCAAAAAATGGGGAAAAAAGGTAGATGGACTTCTGCAATCCCAGCACTCTAGAGGCTGAGGCAGGAGGACTGCTACAAGTTCTAGGCCAGCCTGAGCTACATAGTGAGTTCAAGGACAGCCTCGGAATATATGAGATCCTGTCTCAAAAAAACCTGAAAACAAAAAGGATAAGAAAGACTCCTTAGTCAAGATCAAAATAATGCTTTACGACTCAAATTCAAGGTAAAATTTTCAAGAAAACTTCCTTTTAAAAAATTCCCATAAGTAGGGCCGGGGATTTAGCTCAGTGGTTCCGCTGCCTGCTTCGAAAGCACAAGGACCTGAGTTCAATCCCCGGCACCAAAATTAAATAAATAAATAAAAAATAAATTCCCATAAGTAGCACACAAATTCATTTTTAAAATTAATGTGAACCCTACACAGAAGGGAGATGGAACTCAGAAGTATAACACTTGCTGAGCATGTACAAGGCCCTAGGTTTTATCCCTAGCAGAAAAAAAAAGAAAAAAAAATTCATACCAACCCTTTCAAAATTAGTAAGTTCTTTCCAGGTCTTATAATTCAAATTAACTTATATTATCATTTTAGGGCCGGCGATTTAGCTCAGTGGTTCTGCTGCTTGCCTCCCAAGCATAAGGACCCGAGTTCAATCCCCAGTACCAAAAAAAAAAAAAACCAAAAAGCAAAATTCTCATTTTTATACGCCTATATATTTAGACATATAAGACTTTTCAGGCCTGGGGTTTTAGCTCAGTGGTTCCAGCACCTGTCTCGCAAGCGCAAGGTCCCGAGTTCGATCCCCAGTACCAAAAAAAAGGAAAAAAGAACTGCTCGGGCTGGAGATTTAGCTCAGTGGTTCCAGTGCCTGCCTCGAAAGCGCAAAGTCCCAAGTTCGATCGCCGGTACCAAAAAAAAAAAAAAGACATATAAGACTTTTCAAACTATCTAGAATAAACACTCTTCCCTTCCTTAATAGTTTTGTTTTTGTTCTTGGTACCGGGGATCGAACTCAGGACCTCCTTAGTTTTTTGTTTTTGGTACCAGGGATCGAACATGGGTCCTTGGGCTTGCACAGCAGGCGTCGAAATCACTGAGCTAAATCCCCAGCCCCCTCCTTAGTAGTTTTTAAAGTGGCTTATATTAATTTCTTTTTGAAAAAAACCCTCACCTCCCAGAGTGCTGGGATTGTAGGCTTGTACCACCATGTCTGGCTCAAAGTGATTTTTTTTGTTGTTTTGCAGTGAGTGCTGAGGATTGAACCCATGGCCTCATATATGCTAAGCAAGTGCTCTACTTTTGAGCTACATTCCCCAGCCCAAGATTTGATTTCAACAGTGATCTACATACAGGATTTTTGTTTGTTTTTGCATGCCAAGCAAGGGCTGTATCACTAAACAGTACCCCAAACCTAGAGTTGTCTTTAAATCTCCTAGAGGAAAATTTACAATTTGAGTTTCCCAGGAATACTTTTAGTACCAAAAAGAAAGTTAAAATGAAGATAAAAGGCATCCTTGAAAGAACAGAGTGCCACACCACAGAAAGGTAGGAAGGGATTCTCTATCATGTAAGAACAGGTGGATGCAAAGCTTGTTTTGTTTATTTCCCTATTAGCAGCTTGGTGAAACACAATCTGCTCAGTGCCACAAAGGTATAGTTGGCATCCTTTCAAAAGTTCCAGCCTACCCTTGGCATCTTAGTGACTTAGCAAGACCTTGTCTCAAAATGAAAAATAAAAAAGGACTAGGACTAGGAATATAGCTCAGTGTGGAGACCCTGAAGTGAAAAACAGATAATGACTAAATAATATTATTGTCATTGAGCATTTCAATAAAATACAGATTGGATAAAGGATACAATTCAGAAAAGTGAGCTCTAGGAGATAAAACTAAGGGGAAAATGGTGGGAAGGAAGGCAGATCACAGAAAGCCACCAATGCCAGGAAATAACGTGAATTCAGAAATCAGAGAACCAAATAAGATGAGATAATTAATAAAAATGATGCTTCAGAACTGTTTTGGTGGACCATGGTGCACTACGATTAAAGGATTGTAAGGTTGAGATAAAAGCCTGAACTAGAATGGTGACTGTGGGAACAGAAAGACTTGGAACTCAAGAGGATGTGAAAGAAAATAGAGAAAAGTCAATAAACACCTACTTTGTTCATCCCATTAACTGCTCCCTGTACCTTTATTTTATTCATAACAAGAAAAACCAAACAGTTTAAAACCCAATTGTTAATGATCTACCACAGGCCTTACAATTTAGCTTCAAAGATAACTTCGAATTTACCTTCATGGCAAAACTAGACGGCATCATATTCTTTGGCCATTCAAATTCTGTTGTATGAATTCGTATGCCAGATTCAAGTAAAAGTGTAGCTTTAAAGTCTGGTCTGTGGATGAAGAAAGTCAAATTTTTCTTAAGACATTTGCCAAAGCTTACTCTGCGAAAAAGATCTAATATGTAACTTAAATAAATCAATTATCTCAGACTTTATTACCAAAGGTAAGTCAAACCTATAAATTTTTCTTACTTTTGCAGACGAATAAGATATGTCTTATTATCCACATCATAAACATTGTTTACTCTCATTCCTAGCAGGCTGCAAAAAAAGAAATATGTAACAAATTACACTACAGTTTGAAACATGAAACTCTTTGAAAAAAAGCTTAGTGAAACGAGATCTTCAGCTGAGGATAGGGACGCAGAGTAGGTTAAGTGTAACCATTTAAGTACAAAAGTGGTCTATCAGCCCCAGGAACATCGTACAGTGCCTTGCGTTTTTGAAACGACTCAATCTTTTTTTTTTTTTAAAGGAAGCAGTAAAATCTATTCCAATTACTTCATTACAAGGGAAAAGATAAACGAGGCCCCAGGAAGTATGACAGCAGGCTGACAGACCCAAATCCGGGTCTCAGTCCAAATCAACTAATCCCAACCTAAAACAGCAATTCCCTCACTCTTTGGGGGTGAGGAGTGTGAGGTGTTGAAGAAGCCAGGCCTCCAGTCCGGACACATCCGGAACAAATGACCACTCTGCCGTCTGCAGTTTTACCAAACGCTTGCTGCCGGACCCAAGTGACTCGGGCCAACAAAGCGACAGAGCTGCGACCGCGGGACATGCGAGCTGGCGACACCGGGAGTGGAAGGGTGGAGGACGCGATCCCTGGGCCCCCAGGTATCCCGAGGGCAGCGGCGAAGACGCCACGCGCGCGCGCCCACCCAGGCCTAACCAGGTCCACAGACGAACAGCGATAGGAGAAAACGGCAAGCCGGTCTGGTCTTCACCGTGAAGCCGCGGCTTCTGCCTCCTGCACTCCTCGCAAGAGACTGGTCACCTGTGGGACCCTACCTAGCGTTCAGCTCCGCAAGTACGGCGCGGAGGTCAATGGTGCTAAAGCGCGTCTTCATGGCGAGGCTGGAGCGTCTCTACCGCAGTTTTCTCCACTGCCAGATTCGACGCTGCTACTCTTCCGCGCAGGCGCATTTGCCCATCTACGGCCGCCCAGAGGACCCAATATTCCTTGAAGCGAACGTATACAAGTCATTTGCCTGAAGAATTTCGAAATCTACTGTGTTTTCATTACAGCAAAACAATTTGAAACCAGCCCAAACTGTTCTCTTGAATCTGCATCCTTTCGCTGAACACTTACGGACCAATCCTGCTGTTTTATTCCCTTGTGTTTGGGGATTCAAGCCAGCTTCCATAGTGACCCCCGCTGGTCCTAACAATCTTATGCTGGGACCACGGGAAGAATTTCCCCAGCTGGGGTGAAGGGCTCAGGGTGGAACAGCAACGTCTGTCCGCTGCCTTTCTCGGTCGGGAGTCTGGAATTTGAAATAAGGAAGTGGAACTGTTTCTTTCGTCCTAGAACGGCCTTCCACGGTCAAGGAGCCCTCAAAGCGAAGTTCCTACGTCGAGGGGTCCTGCTGTCCGCGTGGGCCGTGGGATTCTCATTCAACTCTGTCTTCGTGGCCACGAGACGAATCGCGGTGTCCAGGATGGGGCCGGGGTTTCCTACGTGCTTGGCACCGTGAATATTGAGTTGTTTCACTAGATAATGGGGAAGTAAGGCAAAAACAAGACAAGATTTCTCACTGTGGGGAGGGTGTGGAGTGAGAGCGTAACGAAGTAAACTGTTGTTCAAGAATATGAATTCGGAACTTTTCCTTCTCTTAGGGATGGATGCGTGGAGGAAAGGCTACTTTTAGGTGAGAACGCAAAAGAGACAAGGTCTCACAATGTTGCCCAGGCTGGAGTACAGTGGCTATTCACAGGCGCGATCCCACTACTGATCAGCACGGGAGTTTTGACCTGCTCCGTTTCCGACCTGGGCCGGTTCACCCTTCCTTAGGCAACCTCGTGGTCCCCCGCTCCCGGGAGGTCACCATATTGATGCCGAACTTAGTGCGGACACTCGATCGGCATAGCGCACTGCAGCCCAGAACTCCTGGACTCAAGCGATCCTCCCACCTCAGCCTCCCGAGTAGCTGGGACTACAGGCGCGTGCCACCACGCCCGGCGACAGCCAGGCTACGCCGACCCGGAGGGAAGCCTGAGCCTGTGCGCTGCGTAGCTCGGCAACCAGACTTCCTAGGGTCAGGCGGCGACTCTGAGCGGAAAGGAAGAGGCAGGGTTTCAAACCTTGGGAGTTGTAGATGCAAAGCACGGTACTGTATTAGGTGGCACAGTAAGCCATATAGAATGGCTTTGAATTTGAAATCCACCATGTGGAGGATTTAAGGTAGACTGGAAGCCCAATTGATTCTAATCCATACTGTAAAAGTGATTGTATGAAAGATACTATGTTTAGCCCCAAAGGCCTTCGCAAAAGAATGGCTTTTTGGTTTTGTTTGCTCACATAAAAGCAGTCCATGTCAACCCCATACTGAAAGGGATAACACTCGAGTGCTTCTTTGAAACCCAGAAATTGCAGAGTTGCACAGTCCTGTAATCCTGCCTGAGGCAGGAGGATCCCAAGTTCCAGTTCAGCCCGGGCAAATTAGCAACTTAGTAAGGCTCTGTCTCAAAATAAAAAATAAAAATGACTGGGGATGTAGCTAAACGTGAAGACCTTGGGTTTAATTTTCAGTAGTGGAGGAACCAGAAACTGAAGTACACTATCGCAAAACTCTCACCACAGGGCCGAAAATGGGAAGGACGCCGATGTGAAGTTTTACATGCGACAATCACCCATGCACCAATTCACAGTTCTATACTCTCTGCCAAGGAAAATAGGTAGCAGAAGGCATATGCAAGAATGTATGAAAGGGTAGACTGACCTAAGAGTAAAGATTACAAGGGAACTTTGTTTGTTTTTGTTTTGTTTGTTTTTGTTTTGTTTTATTTTTGTGGTATCTGGAATCGAACTCAGGACCTTGCACTTTCGAGGCAGGTGAGGCACCACTGAGCTAAATCCCCAGCAAGGGAATTTCTTTATTTAATTTTGAATTCCATTATTCTACTCTTTTATAATTTCTGTATTTTAAGAAAATTCTGAACCAAAGATGCTTGAAGACTTGCAGAAAAAAGGAAGAGATATTAGGAGGTGACAAGTCATCTTCTAATTTCCAAAGAGAGGATAAAAATGAATATCTATACCCAGGCATGGTGATGTACACCTCTAGTCCCAGCCCTCAGGAGGCTGAGGCAGGAGGGTTGTCATGAGTTCAAAGCCAACTTGGACAACATAGTGAGTTCAAGGTCAGCCTGAACTACAGAGTGAGACCTTGTCTCAAAAACAAACAAAGAAAAAATGAATATCTATTTGACACCACCAAAAATTTAGAGGAGTTTCTTAATGGATGAGTTGTGGGCACCTACAGTTGTAATTCTCAGACTTGAGAGTACATTGAAAAATTCCAGCTATCACTGTAAGACTGTGCGCCTCACCAACCGCTCCGAAGAGCTGACTACAGTGAGGATCACCCGGGAGGGAACACACCGGACAAATTGAGAAAGTAAAACAGACCTTTATTAGTCTGGCCAGATGGCACCCTCCAAGCATCAAACTTAGAGAGGCACCCAGCTCAGAGTCTGAGGTCCTTTTATAGGGGTCGCAAGAGGGAACTTCGCAAGCAGCTGTACAGAAGCGGAATGTCCTGCTGTTAGAACATTTGTAAAACAATAGTTGATTAATTGTTGTTTCTAAGAGACTCTCTAAGGGGAGGAGGTTTCTAAGCTTCCTCCTTCTGAGTTCAGCTAAAGGGCAGGCAGGTGGGTCAAGCATCAATATGGAGTCTGTCTTGCTAACAAGGGTCCTTTAATCAACTCAACTTTGACAAAGGAGCCAACCATCCTCACTGGAGGAAAGATAGCCTCTTTAATAAACAGTGTTGGAAAAACTGGATTTCAACCTGCCAAAGACTAAAACTAGACCCCTATCTTTCACCATGCACTAAACTAAAATCCAAGTGGATTAGAGATATAAATATTAAGACAGAAACACTAAACTTGCTGGAAGATAAGTTAGGTAGAACTCTTGAAGAATTGGCATAGAAAAAGACTTCATGAACAAAACCTCAGTAGCACGGGAACTAGCACAAAGAATCAACAACTGGGATCTCATCTTTTTAAAAAGCTTCTGCACTGCAAGAGAAACCATGAACAGAGCTAAGAGAACCTACAATGTGGGAAAAAAATTTTTATCAGCTGCTCCTCAGACAAAGGACTAGTATCTAGACTATATATCAAGAACTGAAAAAAATCAGACCCCTCAAATATAAAGACCCAATTCAAAAATGGGCATCTGAAATGAACAGACATTTCTCAGACAAAGAAGTAAAAGCAGCAAATAAACATGAAACAATGTTCAACATCACTGGTCATTTGACAGATGCAGAAGAAAACAACACTGAGATTCCACTTTACCCCAGTAAGAACGGCTGCTATCAAGAAATCAACCTGGGCCAGGGATTTAGCTCAGTGGTTCTGCCGCCTCCCTTGCAAGCACAAGATCCTGAGTTCCATCCCTGGTACCACAAAAAAAAAAGAGGGCCGGGTATTTAGCTCAGTGATTTCACCACCTGCTGTGCAAGTGCAAGAACCTGAGTTCGATCTCCGGTACCAAAAAAAAAAGAAATCAATAACAAATGCTGGTGGGGTTGTGGAAAGAAAGGAACCTTTCTCCATTGTTGATGGGAGTGCAGACTGGTGCAGCCACTGTGGAAATCAGTATGGAGATACCTCAAAGAACTAGGATTAGAGTTCTCATTTGACCCAGCTATTCCTCTGCTGGGTAGATTCCCAAAAGAATTAAAAGAATCATACCACAGCAACATATTCACACCCGTGTTTATAGCGGCACAGTTTGTAATAGCTAAAGCTTGGAAACAGCCCAAGTGCCCATCAACTGGAAACTGGGTAAAGAAGATGTATTTTGGGTTTTTTTATAAAATGGAGTACTACTCAGCCATAAAGAATGAGAAACTAGAGACATCTGCAGCTAAATGGATGCACATGGAGGCCATACTCTTAAGTAAAATAAATAAGACACATGTGTAAATACCAAATAGCTTCTCTAGTGTGAGAAACTTAAAGTGTAAATAAGGATCAAAATTTATAATTGATAATGTGAAATAGTAAGTGGGAGGGGTAGGGGAAAGGAAAAACATATGAGAAAAGAGAAAAATGGAAACAAACTCTGTAAAATGGGAGGGGTGGAGGGGTTGAAGGGAGGGCAGGGGAATAGGGAAAAAATAAGAACCAAGATATATCATATAAAAGTACAAGTTCCCAGTGATGAATGTAATTGTATTATATACCTAAAATGTACCAATAAACTTAATGAAAAAAAATTCCAGCTATCACACTCAGACATCGTGATTTCTTAGTTAACTTTGGCTCAAGTTATGTGCGTTTTTAACTGGCAAAATGAAAGAAACTTGGAATTTCACTGATCTCTAGACGATCACGTGTTGATCACCCCCAAACCAACATAGTTTCCCTCAGAACAAGGTATAACTTATTAACCTCATTCCCCACTCAATTCAGAAAAATGTGTGATGCCTAGTCTGTGGGATGTTTTTATAATTGAAGTAAATGCACATAATGCACAAGTCACCATCTTAACCATTTTAAAGTATCTAATTCGCTAATGTTGAAATATTTACAGTGTTGGGCAACTGGCTCCATTATCTATTTCCATAAAATTGATGTGGATTTGTCATTGAAGACCTACTCATCCAGCCTCCCAGAATCCAGAGGACGCCGCTTTCACTGAGCTTGTGATAAATAAATCTGTAAGGGGAGCCGCAGCAACCCTTGAAGGGCTCTATGATTGCGCTTCTGGGGGAACTGCTGTCCCTGAGTTGGGAGACCTAAATGTAACAGGAGTAATGAGAGCCCGAGGTCGGGGCACAGCTGGTGGCACTCCACTGCCAGAGGCAAAGTGCCATGGTTATCACAATGGATGACAGGCAAGAAAGCAATCAGAATATCCCAGCTCAAAGAGACCTACAGGGCAGGGTGCTGGATCATAGTGCCCCTAGGAGTACGTCAGATG